GCCTTCCACTACGTTTGATTTAATGAGGGGGCAATTACAAGTTGTCTAATGTTTACTAATATTCGCTTCACAGCCATGTAGAGAGGTTTCACTCAAACTCTGGTTCATTTGATCAGTGTGAACACCAAACGCGCGCCGTCGTGCACCATACTCGGGTACCATGCACGAGTCCACTTGAAGAGGTGGTCTTGGGCACGATTCATGTGTACTCGAGCAAGGTCCGCGGGAGATGTGAACGCAACCGTGCTCAAACAAGGAAGTGGGCCACTATATGAATTCTGTAATTCTAAACAGCTCCTGTCTCTTAAAAAAAAAAAAACAGTTTTATCCGGGCAGCACGGCACATTTCATCCTCTAAACTGAACGGTACATGTGGACATAGTAAGAGGGTCCTTGTTGGCATCTCAGTAATAACAGTACATCTACAGTAAGCAGGTTGGACTCTGTGAGTGGTTGCTTCTTCTTCTTTCTGCTTTTTGGACGGTTTCGGTACATTACATTTTCCCCCTTTTTATTGTGAATTTTACTTTTCTTTTCTTCTTCTTTTTTTTTTATGAGAACGGTCAGAAGCTTGTGCTTGTTGAAGGTTTGTGGTCATCTTTTTCCTGTCATTTTAGGACTTGTATATGTTTGTGTGTTTATGCCTCCCCATTAAACACCTTGATAGCCATATTGAAAGAGAACCATCTTCAGACTGAGGCAGCCCAGCTAGCAGCTACTGCGCCTCCTCCACCTTTCCTCTAAACTTCACGACTGACACACATTCAGCCAGTGTGGTTCCAATTAACACAGACTGAGTGTGTGTGTGTGTGTGTGTGTGTGTGTGTGTGTGTGTGTGTGTGTGCTCAGGTGTAGATGCAAGTTTCTGTGTGGCTGTGGGTGAGATGGGGGAGGGTGTATGTGAGGAGGAAGGTCAATTTCACGGTGTGAAGTTTATGGCCCTGCTTTTACTTTCTTCTGCACAGCGAGAAGTTGAGATTACAACCACACCATGTCTGCACTTTAGCTACGTGGGACTAATCAAGCCAGAGTTCATACACATGGGTGTTTTTCATTTGAGGGGCTCACTGGTTTGATTTGAAGTTTCTCATTTCATTTTGCTTTGCTGAAACCGCACAGAGCTCGTTATAGACCTTTACAGAAAGGTAAACTTTTAGACGTTAAGCATGAGTGAGTCTGTAGCATCTAACAGCTGAAAGAAAGCAAGAGGGTAAAAAGAGAGAGAGGAGGGGGAGGAGAAGAGAGCGAGGGGGGGGAGGAGGCAGAAGAGGAGGGAGATGGGACGAGTGAAATGTTCCTCATTACTAGAGTGGAAGAAGACGGGAGCTGTGCATGGATTGACTTCGAGAAAGACTGATAGAAAGAGAGAGAGAGAGAGAGAAAAGGGTTGTGTGTGTGCAGTTTGAGTCCTTTATCTGCCGCTTCATGTTTTATCAGAGTTAAAGACAGAAGCAAAGAGAGAGAGAAAGAGACGGGCATTTTCTACCGTAGAGCATAAAGGAGAAAAAACTTGACACCTGGAGTACAAAGTGAAAGAGAGGCAGATAGAGGCAAAGTGTTCCTGCTGGAGGAGTGTGTGTTTGTGAGTGTTTCTGTTTGTATGTGAGACCAGTACGCCTTCATCTGAGGGACAAAAGTGGATCGTACACCTCTGTAAGGCTTTTTGAAGCCGCAGATGAACTGACTGAACAGATTACAGCCTGAGGTAAGACGGCATCTCTACCTCTCAGTGTGAGAGTGTCACACGTTGTCATAGAGAAAATATCAAATAGTTCATTCTTTAAAAAATGGTTAGCACTGTTAACTAAAACTGTTTTAGCCTATTAATCGGGCTAATTAATAATGTGTTCTCACAGCTTAATTAATTGTTTCCTTTTTTTTATCATTGTAGTGAATTTTATTTTCTTATTTACAAGTCACACTTCTGCAAGAATATGCTGTAAGTAATAATGTTTGTAAAGGAATTGTGAAAAGTGTTATTCAAGATATTATTCTGCTTTAATTTGGCTAAATGGGTGCAATATTGAGAGCTTTTCAAAATAAAACAATGTTAGTAGGTTATGTTGACAGCACTGCAGTCCTTTCAGTGTAAATTAGAAGAGTTTGTATGACAGTTGTTTTCAAAACACTCCATATAATCTGAATGGATGCTTTTCAATTGTGTAAACTGAAGGGACTTTTGTTAAAGACATTGTGATGATTTGTAATTGTTAAGGATTCTTAGATATTCTGCCCCTTTTAAAAAAAAAAAAAAAAAAAAAAAGGAAATTATTTTTTAACTACAGGTGAGGTTTGGTGACGGATTAAAAATCAGCTCCTCAATGTATTTAAATAAAATATCCCCATTAGTAGCACTATTAATTTAATTGTATTAATGTGGAGGCTAATTGCTTTTTTTTTTATATAAAAAGGAATTATTTGAAGAAACATTTTTGGACTGTGGTTATGTATCAGAATTTGTATTTGATTAGAATGTAAAACAGAATTTCTTCTTTCTCTCTACAAATAGACTTTAGTTTGTGTGTGTGCGGGTGAACAAATCCATGGTATCAGATGTCCCTGTGCAGATGGGTTGGGTTATAACCAGAAAGACACAACACTGTTCTTCTTTCTCTCTCTCGTCAGCCCCCTTTTCTCTTCCCGTGCCGGGTTGACACAGTTTGCCAGAAAAGCAAAACACAAACCTAGTTGACGCACCCTCCACACAAAATTTCAGATACCTTATTGAGGTCAAGAGAAGCACAACATTTGGATGGAGAAACAAAAGGAAGAATACCAGGATTTAATACAGCGCCGCCATTTTTCTGTCTCACACAAACTATTTAAATTAGCAGCGCTTTAGTATCCAGTAAACTGCATTTTATTACATCCATTTGATGATAACTAACATCAGTAAGTTACCATACAAACACAGCAGTGTGTAATTCCCTTAAATAAATAATTGTTATTAGTGCTAATTACTTTAGGTACCTGCATTTATCCCTTAGGGAGTCCTCGGCCCGGCAGGTTGTGTTCCAGACCGGTCACCCAGCCAACCAGGTCAGAGGTCACCTATTTAAGAGGCTCAGGTGACACAAATGGGTCCTTCAGGCATTCTGGCCACCTAAGAGTACAAAAAGAGGCTCTTACCTTTATCATCAGAATGAATTATATCGCTACAGAGAGAGAGAGAAAATAGTTTCAATTTTTGAAGCTCTATTTTGATTCATTATTTTTAAAGTCGGGGCCGTTTAGTGCAACATGACTTGTGTCTTTGAATGACATATAAAACAAATGAGTTTCTCAAGCTAAATGTATAGAGTTAAATACGGAACAAAATAATAAAGACACTCTGAGACACAGAGACTCCAAGAGGTCGACAACACAGAGAGAAAGTGTGCAACGGATTAAAGTCTGCTGATAAAAGCTTTTCAGGATCAAAGCCTGTGTGTGCTTGTGTTTTCATAGATCATGTTGAGGCAGAAACAGACAGGATGGCGTATGTGTGTCCCTCTGTGTGTGTGTGTGTGTGTGTGTGTGTGTGTGTGTACGTGCACATGCGGGCCGTGTGTACGTCCTCGCGTCTGTACTTCAGCCCGAGTGTGCGTTACATGTGGATTGCAGTTTCTCACCGCCATGCTGCTGATGTCGTGACTGACAGCCTTGTTAAATTTCAGTAAAGCATGAAACGTGACATGAAAGTGGCTTGTGTGTGTGTAAGGGCGAGTGTGTGTGCTTGAAGTGAGCGTGTGTGTGTGTGTGTGTGTGTGCGTAAAGTGATCCATACGAGGGCACTGGCTAACCTTTGAACTCTGTCTTAAACGGCTAAGTGCTGCTTCATATACACTCTCTGCAGGATCCTCTAATCAGAACCATAACACACACGCACGCACGCACACACACACATACACACACACACTCTTTCCAGTTTCCACATACCTGCAGTTTAGCGTCTGCTTTCTTGAGCTGGTCCAGGGCTTTGTCCATACACTTACCTGTGATTGCGATAATGTGTAAATGACATGAATATTTGCTGCCTGCGTGAATTTCGAGTGAGTGTGTGTGTTTGCGTCTGTACGTGCGCTTATGTGTGTGTTTGGCACCTCGCGCGTGCCCTACACCTCGACAGTGTGTTGACACAGTGATTACAGGGCAGCTGGTACACATTGGGCCTCGCTCCGCCCTGCATTTACTGTTCTAATTAGTTCCTGTTCCAAATAAGAGCTAGGAATTTTAATAGGGAACCGCTGCTCTGTCGTCCAGCTCCGCATACCCTCACACACGCAGCGACACACGCGTAAAAACCAGCCTGAGTGTGTGCGGTGAGCATACCGAGGCCGAACTGCTGGAACTTTTTCTTGCAATGATGAAGAAAAAGTTCAAGCAAGCAGTGATTGACACAACCAAATGTCTCACAAAGAATTAGGGCTCCATTAAGTGTCCGCCCACAGTGTGACCTGCTTAAAGGTTGAAGAGTGAAGCGCTGTGACCTAACATGACCCCGCGGTGACTTTTGAACTCTTGAAGGGGTTGAGGAAGGGGCCGGAGCTGGAGCTGCGGATGGAGCAGGGTCATGGGTGAACAAGGGAAAGTTAATATCTGTCACTTACACGCCAGTTAGCACTCCTGTCATGGCGGTGGCTTCAGGCACGGACACCGGCTAGTGATTTATTTATTATGATGTGTACGGTTTCGCAAAACTTTTAGGAATATGAAAACTTCATAGGAAGCATCTTTTTGCAATTTTCTGTTTACCTTGGGATTATTTCAAATCAGATTTGAGTTCTGGCAGCGTTCTTTTTCTTTCCTCTTTCTTAAACTGTAAAAAGCAGGAATTCATTTAGTTGTTATGCACAACATTCATGATGCTAATAGAATTTGTCTCATTCATAAACACTGGTTTATGAGGCTGCTTTTTGCCACAGAACTCTGGTTCTTATTAAATGTCTGCATGTGTGTGTGATTTAATGTGTGTGTAGTTCTGTTTAGTTACATTTTCCTCTGCTCTGGTTTCTCTGAAGGTGAAGAAATCACACAGTGAATCTCATGTTCCAGACCCTTCGGACACCAGGTACGCTCACATGTGTCTGTTGGTATAATAGGACAAGCGACATTCTCAGAAGAGTTTGTTGTGTGTGTGTGTGTGTGTGTGTGTGTGTGTGTGTGTGTGTGTGTATGTGTATGTGTGTTGTTGTTGTTTGCTGGTCATGGTGCAGAGAGGTAAGGTTTCACTGCAGATGCAAGTTTTGATGAGGTCATCAACACTTTCTCAAAACCTGTGTGTGTATCTCTCAGACACACACACACACACACATGCACTCACACACACTCAAAAGGATCATAAGATATATTGATACAGTTGGAGGGCAAGCAAAGGGGTCATGCTGTACTCTGTCTGCGCGCACATATGCCAAATGAATCATTTTAGACATTTGTGATTCAAAAAAGTGGAAAGTCTCCAAAGTATTTTCTAGTTTCAGAGACTTCAGTCAGATGATTTGCTTTACTCTCTCAGGTGTTAGGTGATAATGTAGTCTAAATGTATTTTGTTTGGGGACTTTTGTTGGGAGCGAACAAGATATTCAAAGCATTCATTTTTAGCTTGAGGACAATGAGGTGTACTTTCTTCACAACTTCTTTTACAATTCATAAAGATGAATCATGTCGGTGAAAAATAAAAAGCAGCGAAATTAAGAGGATAATCCGTCAGCTGCTTTATGTTTAAATTTGTTTCACACACCACATCAAATGCTCTTTATTGTAGTAAGATGCAGCATTTTGCAGACATAATGTGAAAACCAGAAGAAAGTTTATGAAACACCAACTCCTGCCATCGCCTCCTGAGAGGAGCGAAACAGAGAGGAAAGAAGAAGAAGAAGAAAAAAAAAAAGACAAGGAGGCGAGACCGAATCATTTCCTTCTGTTGAGAGACAAAAGAAAAGGATGGAGCAAGAGTGTTGAAGCACACGAGAGAGAAAAGTAAAAAAAAAAAAAAATAATCTGTGAAAATACTTAGCTCTTATTGGCAAAAAAAACCCACAATATATCCCCGGCTTTGAAGATAAGGCTTGGCTCAATATCTCGCCCGCATTACTTGTTGTTGATGTTTAAACAGCGGTCTGTGTTTTCAGTTCAGCAGTGCAGAATGAGTGTTTCGCTGTAAATAGAAAAAAAGCACAAGGAGAGACTTGATTTAGTGTGTTTATCTTTTATATGCTCTCGTTTTTTCGACCCTGAAGTGGTGTCTGTCGAGTCTACTGAAAGCTATATTTTTATACCTGTCAGTCATGACTGTGGTTTGCAGTCATGTGTGGTGAAGCTATCTGCCCACAGCATTGAGATGGACTGCTTCCAGGCCCTGACACGGATGTATCAAACACACACACACACATGTCACACACACACACACACACACACACACACACACACACACACACACACACACACACACACACACACACACACACTCTCTCACACAGACGTATTCACTCAGAGCAGTAGCCCCCATTTGTTTAACTCTCCCTCCATCTCTGTCATTTCTCACTTTGATGTCTTTGGATACGCACACATGCAAATACACACATTTAGAAGGGGGAACTATCCATACACACAGTGATTCATAGTTAAACTATGTCACCCACAAGACAACATAACAAAATATGGGTTAAGTGGCAACAGTGGTGAAGAGTCAAATAAGTCTTTTATTCGCTTTTCTCAGTGTGCATATCTCAAAACCATAGACAGTGGATGCAGCAACAATGATGTCACCAATTTACCCATATTCACATAACATGCTCTGACATCACACTCAGACTGGGAAGCTTAAATTGCTAAGTTGTACAAATGTTTTCTAAGTTTACAACATTTTAAATGAAGAGAAGCTGCCAAATCTCTTTTTTTCACCATTCCTGTTTTTTTTTTTTTAAAGCTTTATTTGGGGCTTTTCGTGCCTTTAATGCAGAGAGAGGACAGCGGATAGAGTCAGAAACCAGGGAGAGAGAGCGGGGAATGACATGCGGAAAGAGGCCACGGGTGGAAGCAAACCCGGGCCTACCGCTCGAGACGAGAGTCTCAATACATGGACGCGAGCCCTAACCATTGCGCCACCAGCGCACCCCATACCTGTTTTTTTTTTAACAACAATAAAGACAATTCTTTGTGAAAACAAAGACGATAGCTTGGCCATATTTCAAGTTAAAAACTAGTTATTTTGATATCCGATTAGCTTGCCTCGAAAAACTGCTAATGCTAGCATTGCACCACTTCCTTGCTAATGTTAGCATGAGCTAGGAGTTTGGCCTATCTGATGATTTCTAGTTCCTGAAATATTGAGGTTAGCTAAGAAGTGGTTTGATGCTAACATTAGCTGTTGTCTGACGGTAGCTAACTGTTTATCAGAGATTTTGTGTTACCTTTAAATATGACTCAATGTCCCTTCAGATATCCGTTGTTTATGGTCTTTTCAATTGCCGGTGAACTGGAAAGGTGTTAATTAAAGCATTTTGTCTTATTCCTTACATTCAGAGCCACAGCAGTAAGACAACAACATTTGAGCTTCCACGCTGAGCTTGACAACAGGTTATTGTGGTCAAATGCTTTGTGAACAACATGGCGAGATTGGCATTTGAGCAAGACATGATCATATTTGGCCGAGGGGATGGAAAGGCAATTGCACATCTCTCTCATGGTTGAAAGATTTGCTTTGGCAGCACGTCGTCAATCACAGGTGGCCACACCTTGAAGCTTACCATGCTTTATTGTTTACTGCCCCCTTCTTTTCCCCAAGCGGCCATCATGCTGTATTGAAGGGCATTTAAAAAGAGAAATTTAAACCCCAAACTCAAAGAAAACACATGTTTACTGAGATATTTAACCAAGAGAGAAGTATAGTAATTTTCAATTTTGTTTTTTTTTACAATGAGATGCATTTTTGCAGAAGTGCAGTCGCCCTCTGCTGGCCATTATAAAGAGTCCAGGTTTTAAGAAGTTCTGCATTGGCTACACTTTGACAGGAGGCTACATCTACTTTTTATATACAGCCAGTGTTTAAAATACTATGACTCTTACCTCCTCTCATGAGGGGTTATGATCATGGAAGTAGGTACCAAAATACCCAGTCAATACTGATGTATTAAGTGCAGGAAAAGGCAAACTATTGATGTTAATATACGAACAGAATGAAGATGCACACACATTAGAAAAGAAACACACGTGTTCCACAACATGTGTGGAACACATTGTAAAGCTAAAGCATGCTGGCAGGCTGTGGGTTTGTATGGAAGCCCTGAAGTGCCCCCACAACACACCCCACACACACTCCATAAAAGAGCCAGCAGGCCCGCAGACAATGTCTAACGCCTCTGAACACATGCTTGTTTAGGTTAACTGGTATGAACAAGCATGAAGTTTATGACTGTGTGTGTTTGTTTGTGTATGTGGATATGTCACTCAATGTGTTTAGTGAATTCTCAGTGTAATATATAGAGGTGGGAGATTCCCAGCTGTGAGAAAATATTATTCTTGATCTGCCATTCATTCAGCAGAATTTGGAAATCTGAGTTCTTCTCATTTTCTTTCCCCCTCCATCCCTCCTGTTCCCTCCTCCTCCTCCTCCTCCTCCTCCTCCTCCTCCTCCTCACTCCTCACTCCTGCAGGTCTATGGAAATGCAGGACCTAGCCAGTCCTCATAACCGTGTGGAAGGTGGAGATTCAACAGGCTCAAAGCTGGACAAGAACAACCTTGGCAGCCCCTCCATCACCACCAATGGGACAGGAGGTGAGAGTGTTGGGTGCTGTATGAATGCGATATTGTCTCTAGGACGGGGAAGTAGATTTCGTGTTTAAATTATTATTATTTTTTTTAAAAGAGGGGAAGCAGCGGTTGACTGAAATGTTATATTACTCACCTGTTTTGATTGGACAAAGAGTATGAGTCATGCATATTTAAGGGCGTAACTGATCTGACTGCAAGTAACTGCATTGTAGCCGTTTGTCAGGAGACTTAAGGCTCCAGCTCTGTGCCTGACGTTAGGTTGACCAAAACATTTATAGCGTTAGCATTTACAACATAGCGACTGCTATGGATGAGCTTAAAACCAGTGACCTCACCCATTGGTTTCTTGAGGGCCGAGACTTTGTCCATGTTTATATACAGTCTGTGAGTATATCACCACCTATGACGTTGCTGGCCTTCATTGGACATGATGTCTGATGAAGGGGTAGGGATTAAACTGTCACGGGTGGCGGTATCATTAAATGAGATTTGGAGAAGCTTCTGGTGTTCGGACTCAGTCATGGTTTTGTATTTGTATTTCTGTCCAGCATCCAGTGCTTAACATGTTTGTACTTTTGGCCAGAGCCAGGCAAACTATTTCCAAATGTTTTCAGCTTTTATTCTATAATAAGCTAACTTGCTCTTCGCTATAGCTCAATTCTTAACCTACACACTTCAAAGTGGTTTCAATCTTTTCATTTTACTCTCTGAAAAAGCAAAGAAGGTTGCCAAAATGTAATAATATTCTCTTTATAGCGCACACAAAAAAGTTGAATTAAATGTGTTACAAACTGAAATGAGGAGCAGTGAAAGAGTGAGTCATCTCTTTGCTGACTAAGCGTTTAAGATTGCACCTTAACTTGTCATGATGGCACCTGATTAATGTCTCCTTTAAGCGTAATAAGAGAAATATATTAAAAAAAGTGAGCTTAACTGTACAAATTGTTAAATGTTTGTTGAGGAGAGAGTCATGACATGAAGTTATTTTTCCAGCAGAGGTTTTACATGAACATTATAAGCTGCTCTTGCAATGTCATGTAACGAAATGTATTGCAAAGTCATCAGTCAGAAGCGTCTCAACATGCAGAGATAAGTACTTTTTGATCGATTTATATAGACGGAAAGCGACCCGCACACATACACACACATTCCCCCCATGTTGGCGCGAGGACTTGGGTATACCGCTGGAGAATGTGTGTAAACACACGGTGAAGCACTTCTACTCTCCTCCGCTAACCGCTTGGCAAAGTGTGTGTGTGTGTTTGAGTGTATGAGGGGAGAGTCCAAAATCCCACTGGAAACTATTTCCTCTACAAGAGCATTAAAGCATCACTGCACTCTAAGCTGTCAACACCAACAAGCCCTCTCCTCTCTGTCGTCTCCTCTCTTTTTATTATTTTCCTGTCCTTTCCTTCTTCTCATCATTTTTCTTCTTTCACCCTTGGTCTTTTGTCTTTCATCTGCTGTCGACTGCGTTATTTTTGACACAGCGGTTTGATGTAAAAGATGGATGTCAGTGCTTTTTGTTGCAGTTGTTCCTTAGATGTGAAGGGCAACGGAACCCACTTTTTTAATAGAAATGTAATGGAAATGTAGTCACACTGATGTGTGGACACTCACACAGTCACAGAAACAGCCGGGCTCAGACTGGACTTAGCGGAGAATTCAGACCATATTAGTGCACATGAAATCATCTCTGATGAGCTCACATTTAATGGTTAAAGCAGGCAGAGCCGGGACTACACGCTCACAGCCAAAACAAACTACATACCCAGCATTCCCCTCACCTGACATCAGTCGGCGCTCAGGCCCACGGGCCATCTCCATAGCAACTCGTTTGTCTTCATTAAGGCTTGTCAGATGAGTTGTATTGCTGCCCGAGGGAGCTAATGAAGTTGTCCTGGCTTAATGGAGTTTTCAGATGTTCACTGATGATGACTTTGAATTATATGGAGAGAAAACAACAAAAGTAACTGAAAAACATAATGTGGGATGTTTAAGTGGTTGACAGGTCGACTTCTTTCTACGTTTCTTTTTATGTGTTTGAAATAATAATCATGGACACTACTCTAACATCACTTTTAAAAACGTTATTATATATCTGTTTTTATATTGAGGAAGGATATGGCAAGAAAGTTTGATGAAATCTAGTGTGTATTCTATTTGAGCCACTGAAGTCCCTGCTTTACTTCCTGTTTCACTTCACTCTCAGCTCACTGAAAGCTACCTGCCCCACACCAAGAGCAGCAGTTTAAAGTTAGAGAGTAGGTAATGAACATAGCAGTTAGCTGCTCAAGGACACAGATATTCCCCTCAGAAGTTGGTGGAGAGCATAACAGAGAGTAAATACTAAAAAAAAAAAAAAATTATCAGATGACCAAAAGCTTTGTCTCTACATGAATGCCAATGTCCCCTGGTTATGTAACGAGGGAAACGACGATAAGATTAAAAAAAAAAAATGATTTAACTCGTAAATTGAGTTCAGTGTGAAACATTTTTTTAAATTATTTTTAAGCCATATATCAACCTTTTTCATCAAAGTAAAACAAGTCTGCTTTAAAGAAGAAAAAAAAAAGATCAACACCATGAATTACAAACCTGAGAATGGTGTTTGATTCTCAGTGCATTCTATCCTCACCAACCTCCCACCTTGCACCCCTTCAGGTGAAAACATGACAGTTTTAAACACGGCTGATTGGCTGTTGGGCTGCAGCAGCCCGCCTCCTGCCCCGGGCTCCAAGGACTATGGTACAGAGATGCATGTGTGTGAAACTAAGGCCAGAAACCTTACAGTGTTCCCTTAACTGAAAAAAAAGAATGAGTTTCTATAGTTTGGGCTGATCCTAGATCGGATGGGTTTTTTTTTTTTTTGTGCTAGAGTTGCAGTGACTTTGATGTGCTGTGCAGTTTTCTCTTTGAATGCAATTTTATCCCAGTGTTTGTGGAGCCAGTCAACAATTTGGGAAAAAACAAACCAAAAAAAAAAATCCAAGGAGGACCCTTGGGATTTTGCTGACTTAAAAAAAAAAAAAAAAAAATCAGTTATAGCGGGAAACCTGCATGCAACATTTGTTCCCATACTCAGACTGCATGGTAGTTTTCTGCTCTTTACTGAATAGGATTTTCTTTTTGAGTGTGTGGTGATACTCTCTTACTGCCCACTGCTAACACTGACATTTTCCATCTCCTTTTAGTGAAATCAGAGCCTATGAACAGCAGCGACACAGTCACCACAACAGGCGACACAGTATTGGACACATACACAGGCTCAGGTAACACACATCTCCTCACACAAAGAGTGGCTCTCATGTACATCTGGACGGGAAAAGAAACACAAATGTCTGTGTAACTCCCACACACACACACTCACAAACAACACCATCTATTTCAGCTGAGCAGTAGGCCCCGCTGAAAGCTTAAATCCCATGAAGCATTGCCTGTCCTTGGATTGCGTCATCAAAAGGCTGGCAGAGGGGTGAGAGCGAGGGAGAGACATTTTTACACTTGTCTTTTTTTACACTCACACACACACAGATGACCCCCTGTGCCCCTTTCAAACGTGCACACACTGACACACAAAACCATTAGGCAACGCACACAGGGAAGGTTTAGAAGCAGCGGGCGGTTTGTCAGTGTTGAGCTCTGACATCTCAATGACCACAAACAGACATTGTGTTTTACTAAGAGGCCTGCTGCAAGGGGGAGAAGTTGGCTCGCCTCCATTCAAATAGCTACAAATTAGGTTCACTGTAGCAGCATTTCTACTTAAACATGAAGAGGCCTTGAATTAAGCTGCTCAGTTTTGTTACACGTGAAGGAGGTGGAAGATTTGAGTTGACATCATTTATAACTAAGCTTTGTTGTTTTTTTTTGTTTTTTTTTTAAATTATTGTGCTGTCTTTAGTCATCACCAGCAGTGGATACAGCCCTCGTTCGGCCAGCCAGTACTCCCCTCCGCTCTACCCGTCCAAGTAAGTCAGATTTTTTTTTTTTTTTACAAAACAAAAGACTGCTTTCCGAGAATCCTCATATGTAGAACTGTTCCAATCATTTTGTATCATCACCTGTCATATACGTATCTCCCATCGCAGGCCATACCCTCACATCCTCTCCACACCGGCAGCTCCTCCCATGCCCACATACGCCGGTCAGCCCCAGTTTGGCAGCATGCAGCAGTCCACCGTCTACACGGCGTACTCCCAGACAGGACAGGCGTATGGTCTGTCCACCTATGGTAACACTAAACACACACACACACACACACACACACACACACACACACACACACACACACACACACACACACACACACACACACACACACACACACACACACACACACACACACACACACACACACTCACACACACACACACGGTGACACTGACTCACACATTTGAGCAGCAGAGGCTTTCTATAATCCACACTGATAAAAAGTGTCCAGGTGATACTTAACTCCAAAAAGGCATCTCTAAAAATCCAGGCAATCGACTTTTTTTTAAAAATAGAATATGAATGTTATGTAATAATAAATTACCCCAACACTGAATCCACAGGGAAAATATGCATCGTAATTTATAGAAACACGATTATTTTTCAATTTTATGTTATTGGCTTTATAAAAAGCAAGAACATATACTTGTAGTCAGAGGACCTCAAGATGTTGAACAGTCCGTAGGGATGTCGATTCTTTCAGTTTAAACCAACTTAAAGCTCTTGTGAGGTCATTTCAACTGTGTTGATTTTGGCGCCCCCTGTGGAAAGCAGTGCCTCTTAGCTTATTTGTTTTTTTTTTGTCTTATACATGTGTAAGTAGTGTCTTTTTTTTTTTAAATTGAATCCTAGCTTATTTTGAAGGTCAAATGTATAACTCTTTATGGACCTTTGTTATGGAAAATATTTTATTTTATTAAATTAGTTTATTAAACATATAAAGTTTTTTGAAGCTGTAACACATTGAAATGTTGGTGATTATTATTTTTTTTCTGTCTTGTGTCAGACCTGGGCGTAATGCTGCCGGGCATTAAGACAGAGAGCGGCCTGGCTCAGAGTCAGTCTCCTCTGCAGACGGGCCTCAGCTACAGCCCAGGCTTCACCACACCTCAGCCCGGACAAACTGCGTACTCGCCCTACCAGATGCCAGGTTAGTATCCTCACTATTATAAACTCTGACTGAGAATAACTCTTCTGTCTCCTGATTCCTCTTCCTCTTTGTGTCCCAAGGTTCCAGTTTCACTCCTTCCTCAGGCCTCTACGCCACCAACAACTCAGTGTCCAACCCCGCCAACTACACTGCCACACAGCAGGTAAGTACCTTATTACAGTCTGTATACTGGGGGACCCTCTGCTTAAACCTGGACCGCTGGTATAGTTTAACTGGAAGTAACATATATTTTCCCAGGCTATAAGAAATATCTTCAGATGAACCACGCTGTACATTCTCTCGGAGTGACCAAGTGAATTCACTTATTTATGCCCGTTCAAACTAAACAAGACCGTTTAATGTGGTTGGTTTTGTGATAGTGTTTGAGAGCAGAAGTGGTTTTACAGTCACTCCCACACACTTTTCCTCTTCCAGAGCTGCTTCAAAAAATAAAATCTCATAAGACCCTGACGTTACACCAGAGACAGTAGAGACACAGATGATTAGTCTTTGTGAAAGAGTGTTGTGTTCAGAAAAACTCTCTTTATGATGAATTGTATTGCGGTATTAAAACACTTAAAGGGGATCTGAATGTCCTGCTGTGATAGATGTAGGCTGTTTACAGGAAGAAAGTCGAAGTGTGGCTTGTGTGGGTGGATTAAGGGGAATAAAGTGTGTGTATGAGTGAGTATGATTTTAATAGAAAAGACAGAAAGGGAGAGCGGGACGGATGCACGGCGAGTCTTTGTGTTTTCAGTCTTTGTGTGTATGCGACCGACCGAGTGTGTTAGTGCATTCATGTGGTGTGCTGCAGTTTACAAGGACTTCTAGAGATGGAAGTAGTGACAGGTTTAGAGAGCGGACTCGTAAAAGCCCCCATCTCCACTGGGTCAGTTAAAAAGCAGAGACACAAGGCTTTAATTGTTTCTGAGGTATAAAATACAGAATTGAGGGAATAAAAGAATAAAGAAATGAGAGGGAACTCTTGTAAAATGTCTTCAAAAAGTCACTTTGAATCTTTCCAGGAAAGTGAAGCATCTCAATTCTTCCCTTTTGTTTTCAGTCTTTTTGCCTCTGCTTTTTACACTGTGTGCTAATCATCTGTTTGTTTGTTTTGCAGGAATATCCCTCATATACGACGTTCGGCCAAAACCAGTACGCCCAGTATTATTCCGCCTCCACTTATGGGACTTATATGACCTCAAACAGTGTGGACGGCACAGGTTCCACAGCAGCCTACCAGCTGCAAGATCCAGCTCCGGCCATGACCGGACAGGCTGCTGAACTCCACCCAGGTACGTGTTAAAAAAAAAAAAAAAAAAAAAAAAAAAAACAACTCAAATCTCTCATGGTTTCATCTATTTTAACTGAGTTCAGAACTCTTTTTCAGCCATGATGAAGCACAGGAAGTAACTTTGGACTGTTGCCATAGTTACCTGGCTTTGCACTTGCAAGTGGGAGAATTGGCCCATGTTTCCATTAATAGCATATGAGCTTTGATTAGACGGAAGTTATGTTAATATAGCACTTTTGATAAAATGTCAAAGATATCATAAAGGGCTGACATCCGCCAAACATGCATAGAAATATGCCCCCCCCCCCCGTCTCTCTCTCTGTACACATATTTTTACTTTATATTGGCTGTCGTACAGGAAGCCTGATCAAAGTTACTTGTGATTGTCGCTGACACTTTCGCTGTCATTGCTTTTCTCTTTTTTATGTCGTCTTTCTCTTCTCTTGGTATCTTCCTTGTTTTGCCACTCACATGCTCTTTGTGTCTTTTTGTGTTCTCATCCTCCCCCCTCTACTCGCTGCCTGATTGAGACATAACAATATGCGAGCTGAAGCTTAGCGTCTGGTTCTAGTTACCACACAGCAGTGGGAGCATATGGCATTAAGAGTGTGTGTGTGCGCGCGTGTGTGCGTGTGCGTGTGTGTGCGTGCGTGTGTGTGTGTCTGCTCCTGTAGAACTCTGTATGTACAGTATCTTTGTGAGAAGCATCAGATTTCCTAACTTTCTCTAATTTATTTCACGGCTCCTCTATTAAATCCTGACATGGTGCGTTATCATGAATCTTTCAGAAAACCAGGGGTACCTTTGTTGATATGATTGGTAGTGTTTCAGTTGATCTGCAGTGCCAATTACCATGACTTATTAAACCTGACAAGATGGCTTATTATTGTGCAAAGTTTTGAGTGATCGCTTTTCCTGAGGTGAACATAACTCCACAGCACCTGTGGGAGCGGCTCAGACCACGTCATTACTGATGCCCTAATGCAGAAAATATATTTTGAGACCAATATTTCATTCTTTTTTTTTTTTTTAACTTCAAATGTTTAAAAAAAATCTTCTGCTTGGATGCACTCTCAGGGGACTTTGACACAGTACAGAGCCCCTCCACGCCCATCAAAGAGCTGGACGACCGGGCCTGCAGGAGCGGGGGATCCAAGTCTCGAGGCAGGGGTCGCAAGAACAACCCGTCCCCTCCACCTGATAGTGACCTGGAGGTAAGGACCAGGAAAGCCCCCGCTGACAGAGCACACTCTGATAATCAATTCAAATCTCAATGGATATGTGTTATTCTCTTTGATCTTCATCCCCTCTGCTCGCTGCTGGAGTCTCAAAACTAGAGCAGAGAGGAGGCTCAAAGAGCAGGAACACACATACCTCTGTCCATTTTGTGAGCACAAAAAAAGATGAACATGCTAGTGTTTCTCATTGATCCCCTTTTTTTCCCCCCTCCAGAGGGTGTTTGTGTGGGACCTGGACGAGACGATCATCGTCTTCCATTCACTGCTCACTGGCTCGTACGCACAGAAATATGGAAAGGTATATTATCATTCTGCCTTCACTGGTTGTTTGTCTTTATGGTGTTTTAAGTCAGGCGACAGACTAGAGGAAGAGAACGGTCTGGTTTTGATTAAATGGAGGGTGATGAATCTTAAGATCCTGTTGGAGCTTAAAATAAATTGAAAAAAAAAAGCCAGATCTGCCAAACGATGGAAAGATAAACAAGGCATTGTGTTATGAATAATCCACATGAGTATTGCTTCAGTGTAACTGTCGGTGGATTATTTTCGCCCTGACTTGTTGTCTGACAGGCTTCATCTAGGAAACTGTGATCAGGTAGAAGTAGTAGAGCTGCAGACACCATTCAGGATGGAAAAGAAAAAGTATTTTACCTGAGCTCTATGTTAGATCAGTAACATATTTATTCATTATTGAGAAAATATTATTTCATTCAAATGTGCAACAATTAGACACAAATTAAAACATATGAAGGAAATGTTCTATTCATTCAAATTTCAGCACAAGATCGTCTTGATTTAAAATGGCATGATGACTAAGTTGAACTGTTTTTTATAATTTGAATATTAAATATAAAACTCACATGGACCTTACCATTCACACAAGCTCGGTTTTTGTGGATATCTGTATCTACTTTACATCAAACAGCACCAGCAATGGTATGGTCCATTTATATAGACGACCACATGTCTAAAGGTGTCTTTCAATATACTACACAAAAAAAATAGCTCATGCTATTATTATATTAGTGAATCACATTTAAATCGCATCATTCCACACAAAGACTGATGTTTATTCCAATCTGTATTTTTGACGTATATGGTGGTCCTTCTCACATAACAGCCACACAGTTTATAGTTCCCTTTGTTTAATAGCTCTTGGCTCTGATCTGAGATAATCATATGTGGCCAAGGCCACAGATTTTTATTAAGTGATGTCGTTTCCTGTGGGCACCACCAGCCTGCCTTGTACGTGCTCTGCATCGCACTCTGCAGCCTGCAGAGTCCATTCTGATATTCTTGTTTGGCAGTGGAACAAGAGCTGGCACTGCACACACACACACACACACACACACGCTGTAAGCCCAGGCGTTTTACAGATCGGGTTTGTGGGCACTGATGTACTTCCTATTTGAGCAGCAGTCGTGGAATTTAATGTTTGGCAATCAGTATTTAATGGCCATAAGAAAGGCCCTGCTGAGTTGTAAATTTCTCTGTGTATGAAAACGAGAACGCAGTCAGCCTTTTTGGTTGGTTTGTCTTAACAGTAACAAGAAACACTTAACATACAATAATACTCCAAATTAAGTTAAGAAATGATTACTTCTTTTTCTTTTCAAACAAATAATGACTAATATTTTGCTAAATGCTCTTGTTACATTTCCTTTCCTTTTTTTCCTAATAGAATATTTTTGGGGGTAATCTCAGGTCGAGTAGGTTTGTGTAATCTGACCGATTACAAGATAAGACGAGTGTTAGAATATCTGCCTCGAAATAATTTTACAAGCATTTTTTTTTCACCTCATCTGCCACTGATGCCCTCGATAAATACAGTGGCAGCTGTTTCTGTTCACACCTCGCCAAAAATAGTGTTTACAATGTTGACATAGCAACCACGAGACCAAGGTACGGCTGTTATACATGTCTGAGGGTTTATCTCTTTTATATGATGTTCCCTCTTTTTATTGATTATACAAATCTGTTTCACAGGGATACTCACCTGTTATTGTAATGATCACCATATCATCAGCTCGTAAATGATATGTAGGAGTTGAATTGGTTCAGGCTTTTTATTTAGATATTTGGTATCATCTGTGATTGATTAACATGTTTGGTCAAATATGATATATAAAAAAGCCACATCAGCCTTTTTTGGAGCTTAAAGCAGATCCAAATAAAACTAAGCTAAGAGAATGAATAAGTTTCAGGTCATACTGATGTTCATAATCCTCCTCTGGATGTCATTACCTGACAGACAAACGGTCCGGTCTCTGTGATGGACAGGGAGGCAGGAGAAGAGTTTAAGAGAGAAGAAATTGCTTGTATCGTTTTTAGTTCTTTTTAAGTTTTAGGGAATATTATGGAGCGTTCACTCTGATCTTAGCTTTTTCTCACTGAGGAATGCTCTCTCTCTCTCTCTCTCTCTCTCTCTCTCTCTCTCTCTCTCTCTCTGCCTTGCTCGCTCACTGTCACTCTCCTTCCTCTTACTTTCTATCTATTCTGGTTGCCTGACGGTGTCAGCGGATCGCGCGGCTAGCTGTCATCCCTCTCTGACCTATCACAGATGATGGTTTTTGCAGCTGAGCCCTTGGCTGGCAGCACAAATACACACACACGCACAAAATCACACACACATACGCACAAACCATTCACATACCACATACACTCCAAGCGTCTCTCTTTGAGGTTACACACTCTCTGTAATACACACACACACACACACACACACACACACACACACACACACACACACACACACACACACACACACACACACACACACACACACACACACACACACACACACACACCCCTCCCAAACACCCACCAATACCAAGCATGAGGAATGTTGATATGTTGATGGGACTGAACAAGTGCAACCTGTCTGTCAGCATCTGTTCTGATGAGTGGAGCGTACCAATGGGCATTTGTGGGGGGGGAGAAGTAAAAGGGATGTACGACCCCAAATTTAAAAAAAACTGTGACGTTGTGTACAAATGAAAATAAAAACAGAATATGATGATAAAGTATTGAAATATTTAATTAACAACAGAACAAAGACAGGATATCAAATGTGGAAACAATATATGCCCAATTTGAATATAATGCCGACAACACCTTTCAAAGAAGTTGGGACATTGGCAATAAAAGACTTAATGTTGTGAAATGGTTTTAAAAAATCCTGATGGGATATATCACAGTTGATAAAGCAAACTGGCAACAGAGAAGTGACATAATTGGGTCTAAAAAGAGTGTCCAAAAAAGGATGAGTCCATCTGTAGTAAGGAGTGGGAGAAGGGTTCTCCAAAGTGTCACAGCTCAAGAAAATGTTTCTCAATGTAAAATTGTAAAGAATCTGGGCATTACATCATCTGAAGTATATAATATTAGTAAGAGATTCAGTGAATCTTTCAATGATATTGTAAGAGGGCTGAGGCGAAAAGGAAAACTGTCCTGAGGTCTGACGAGGCAAAATTGTAATTCTGTTTAGAAATAATATACACCCCGTCCTCCGGGGTAAAAAGGGGAGGGACCCACTGGCTTGTTGTTATCAGGGCTCAGTTCAAAAGCTGGAATCTGTGATGGGATGGGGTTGCATGGCGCTTTACTGGCCTGCCGCAGTCATGACTTGTCACCCATTGAAATATATGGTGCATTATGAAACTTACATACCAAACATCAGAGACCCCAAACTGCTGAAGAGCTGAAATCCTACAGAATGGGAAAAGCTGAAATGATTTATTGGGGGAAGGGTGAGGGGTACACAGGGAAGCAAATCAATTGGGAGGTAGTTCATGAAAATGACCTGTTATAGCTGTGATGTCATGACGGTAACGATGATGTCATCTTCTTCCGTCAGGACCCTCCTATGGCAGTAACGCTGGGTCTGAGGATGGAGGAGATGATCTTCAACTTGGCTGACACACACTTATTCTTTAATGACCTGGAGGTGAGACACAGATCAGACACACACACACACACACACACACAAAAACACACACGTGAAATGTTCTATTTTAAAAAGCTACAGTTTAATTCTTGCCGAAAACATAACTATCTATCTACTATACCACTTATCCTGTTCGGGGTCTGGGTTAGTTCTGGAGCCGATCCCAGCAGTCAGTCACAGAACAGAAAACTCAACAAAGACCTTTCAAAGTGTCTTGAGCAAAGCTGTTATTCATTACAAAGTACTACTGCCCTCTAGTGGTGGACATTTAACTATACACTACTTATTGAAAGAGCTACCAAATTTCTGTTTTTAGAAGTTCGAGAAGGTTTTTTGTTTCATTTAGATAAGAAATAAGAAAGTGAATGTTAATTATATGGGTACAGCATTCACTACTAAGTGATGTCTTGTTTTACATCTGCTGTTGTTACATTTCATCGCGTAGAATCAGTGAAGTTTATTTTTATTGTACCTTTGATTGTGTGTGTGTGTGTGTGTGTGTGTGCGTGTGCGTGTGTGGATTAGGAGTGTGACCAGGTACATATTGATGATGTTTCATCTGACGACAATGGCCAGGACTTAGGGTGAGGATTTAACAATTTATATGAAGTTATTATAGTGTGAACTGTTGATGTGAGAAAGTAAATGTTGATGTTTTAAGGCTAATACATTTCCAATAAACATGTTTGTTGACCATAGATTTTTACAGGGTATTTAATACATTAATATAATATATATATATATAATATATATAAAAAAAACATGGAAATGCATATTGTAAAACTGTAATGTATATTTAACTTTTCATTTTGAAGGTGATAATTATTCTTAATCTTACAAATACATCCTTGCAGTTATGTTTCTGGTACTGGATAATAATAAAAAAAAATAACTATTTGATTTCTTTGTTTTACCAGAGCATATTTAAAAAAATAAAACATATCATTATTATTGACAGTACTTACAGTTTTGCAACTGATGGCTTCCATGCAGCTGCAACCAGCGCCAACCTGTGCCTGGCTACGGGCGTCCGCGGCGGGGTCGACTGGATGAGGAAGCTGGCCTTCCGCTACAGACGAGTCAAAGAGTTGTATAGCACGTACAAAAACAATGTGGGGGGTAAGCCAATGTGACGGCTGTTAACTGGAAACAAAGAGTGGGATGATTTGTTCAGTTGTGCTTGTCAAGTTTTGTCTTTCATTCAAGAAGAATTAAACAAGGGAACAAGCTTGTTTTAATTGGTCTATGAGGCTGGGCAGGGGCTACAGATGTGTTATTATGTCGATTAGATTTCAATAAGAGCAAGCTGCAGCAGGATCGACCAATCATTTTTGACAATTCTAGATCTAGAAGTTATTTTAATTAGGCCATAAACCTATTTAGTGTCCTCATGCCTTTAACTTAACTGGATTGAAAGCTATGATGAAACAGTAAATAAACTGTAGGACATTCAAACTCCCAAATCAGGCCTTCATTTTTGAAAGCCAAGTAACTATTAGGCAAACATTTCCTTGGGAATGTTTTCCTGTTTGGATAACATCAAATCAAATGTTTGAAATTTCATTGAAATCCCAACATTAGCATGACAATATTTAGTCTTTACCTTGCCTGTTTTATTCGTTGTATGTTAAATCCCTGATGTTAGGAGGGCTCACTAATGCCCTGCTGTGTTGTAGGTCTGCTGGGTCCTGCTAAAAGAGACGCCTGGCTGCAGCTCAGAGCAGAGGTGGAGGCTTTGACCGACTCCTGGCTGACCCATGCGTTAAAGTCCCTGTCCATTATCAGCTCCAGGTGACGTTTTGTGTGTTACGTCTGTTCCTACAAACCCCTGTGTTAACGTACAGGATCAGAATGCTGATTCATTCAAGCCTCATCCATATTCAGGCATGCATTGGAAATGAATGTATGCACCTCTTAACATGCTCTGTGTCTGTGTCACCCAGGAGTAACTGTGTAAACGTGATGGTGACCACGACGCAGCTCATACCAGCGCTGGCTAAAGTTCTCTTATACAGTCTGGGATCTGTTTTCCCCATCGAGAACATCTACAGTGCAACAAAAATAGGTATGGCATAAACCTCCGCACACATCACCTTACACATGTTCCGTTACTAAACAATAATACATGGATGTTTGTAATATAATGTACAAGTAATTATAGTAATTTCCCCACTAGGTCAAAAGTAGCGTATACTGGGTTGATTATACCAGTCGTTATGATGTTTTTAATCTAACCCATGTGTGACTTATTTCCTGTTCCTTTATAATGGGAAAATGTTTGCTTTAGTTTGGCTCAGAATCCGTTAACAATAAGAAGAGGATGTGCTTAGTTACAGTTTGCTTTATTATATTCATCGGTGTGTCTGTAGTAGAGCCCGGACCGATTGATCGGCCGATATTAGCATATCAAGTGACTATCGGTATCGGCTAATTTTACGGCCGATATGTGCCGATATTACTAAATGTATTCACCAGTCAAATAGCATTTCATTTGAGTGTCGTTAGTTATGTACATGTGCAGTTACTGTCCAGTTGAGCGACCATCGTGTCTACGTTATATATTATCAAAGTGGGTGTGTGTAACTTGACCCTCCTCATCACACACACACACACACACAGCTGGTCCTCCTCACATGTTTCATTTCCACCTAAAGAAAGGAGTGAAAAACCCTGTGAAAGCTGTTTGTTTGTCTCCAGGCAAAGAGAGCTGTTTTGAGCGTATAGTCTCCCGCTTTGGCACTAACATTACGTATGTTGTGATTGGCGATGGGAAGGATGAAGAGCATGCGGCTGGCCAGGTAAACAAACATCTCCTGAACTAAGACCCCTCTGACCTTGTGACCCTCCTTCCTCCCCCCTGTTTATTTGTTTTTTTTGCAGGAAAAGAGAGTTGCTTTGAACGCATAATGCAAAGGTTTGGCAGGAAAGTAGTGTATGTTGTAGTTGGTGACGGTGTGGAAGAGGAGCAGGCGGCCAAAAAGGTAATGGACCCCTCGACCTCACTGTGAACCTGCCTCCTCCTCACAGTGTGAGCTCTGATTGGTCGAAGCCTGTCTTTCTTTGCTGTAGAGGTTTTGAGTTGGTCTTTAACTTTTTTTTCCTGTTCTACTTGCTGTTGCTTTTTTTTTTTTTTTTTTCATTTTGAAGTAGAAGCAAGAAACTTTTGATCGCAACTCTGTTTGAGTTAAAATTGTGAGATTGAGATGTACATTTTGCACCTACTATTAACTCAAAAATGTAAACCAAATTTGTGTGCAAAGCTGCGGCTACATTTTTGAACTGAGTTTCAATGATTTGGAAAATTAACCTGATCTCATGACATGAGAAGTTTTCAAACAAAAGGCTGCTTAAATGTACACATTGATAAAGCTTTAAACAATCTTGGCTAGAGCAACAATGATGGTTTGTATCCAGTTTGGTGTGGTAGTTTTTGCAAGACAAAAAGTAGCTGTATCACACACAAAACTACGACTGTTCCGCTCCATTTTTACACAAAGTGAATAAATATCCCGCATCTTTTTCCAGATGTGGGTTTCATTCTTAATGCTGGGTGCTGGGAAAGTCAATGGAATAATGACATTTTGAGAAATATGTTTTTTTTGCTTCTTTGCTGAGTTCGATTAGTCGGATTATACCGCTCTCTCATCTGTCTGATGCTGATCTCAGCACGGCGGCAGAAAGCATATTTTTTTTCACAAAATGTTTAACTCTTTCTTCAAGCATAAGGATTGCATGGATTTTGTTTGCAGTGCTTTTGCCAAGCAAGCAGCTGCAATCTCCTGTAGTGTAGCCTGCATGACTTGAGGTGGTGGTGTGCGGCATGAAACTGTACTTTAGTGTTAATGTGTGTTTGTTCACTCTGCAGCACAACATGCCTTTCTGGAGGATATCCAGTCACTCTGACCTGCTGGCACTACACCAAGCACTGGAGTTTGAGTACCTGTAACTACTTTAGCAATATGGACTCATGCAATGTTACCCTGGACGTGGTCAGCCAGGCGGCCCCCTTCTTTTGTATAACTATTTAAGAACAAACAATACACTGCAACTGTTTTTGTGATTTTTTTTTTTTTTTTTTCTTCTTTTGGTCTTGTTTTTTTGAACCTCTGGATTTACAAACTCTGAATGGTCTTAAGAAGCAAAGTAGAGGTGAAAGATGAAGAAAAAGACTTTGGGAGGGCAAAAGAGATGATTACCCGACTCAGCCCACCTTGGTCCTGATGCTGGGAATGGGCCGCTGTGAAAACGTACCCTCCTTGCAGCTGTAGCAGACTAAAAGCCTGAAAACGGCTGAAACCCTTCCTGGCCCAGGAGGACGTTTGATTTGTTCTGGAGAATAAATGATCTTCAAAAAAATGAAGGCCTCTCTGTACAGGCAGCATCGTGTGCGAGGAGAACGGCTGCTTTTTTATTTAGTGTTTTCTTCCTGATGGTATAATCACGACACATCAATGCAGTCTGTGGCAAAACTTGTGTAAATTATTTACAATAAACTTAAAGGGCAGTGGCAGATATTATGTCCAAGAGGTGGAAACTATACTTTTAGTGTCTTTTTTTTTTTTTGTTCTCTGGATTTTTGTAATTTTGGGTGGGGGGATGGAGAATGTGCATCATGATGTGTTGTGCCTTAATGTGTTTGAATGTCTTTTCTTTATTCAGAAATGTTTATGTATGTAGATATAAAGGAATAATCCCATCCAAACCACATGCTTCTTGTCTTCCCTGGTTTACCATTGGCTATTTCATTCATCAGAAACGTCTATAACATCAGTGGTTCCCATCAATCATTTCAGTTTATAGGAGCAGATCTAATTTTAACTACCTCAGCAGACAAAGCCAGACCCCAGGTTGGGACCTCATTGTATTTTATTAACCTTTAATATTTGATGACCTGAGATCAACATGTCTTTCACAAGGAGGACCTGGTCTAGAGGTCAGCAGCACAAGTCAGGCTTAAGAGGACTGTCTCTCAGACACTCAGCATTTGGCTATGCTGAGTATCTTCTCCACATTGTTGTAAACAGATTTTAAGTCAATGTATTTTAATTGATGAAACCACAGGTTAAGTGTTGGGGTATAAAACTATTAATGCTGCAACCCTTGTGCTAAAAAATAAAATAAAAACGGAGCTTAATAAAATATGCCACTATAAGTAGATTCTCCTACACATTTGACATGGTCTCCACTTCATCACCCTCATACTTAAATGTGTTTTTATGGCTAAAGGAGGTTCACAACCGGTCAAAGGAAGATGATGATGGCGGGATAATGCAAGACCGCTTCAAAAGTAAGTAGAGATTTGAAACAAATGAATCCTGCTCTTCACCTTTTTCAGGACAATTGTATCTTTCAGTTTGATTCAGAAGTCTGCATCATGATTGTATCTTGGTATTATTGTGGGTCATACTGTTAGCCTCCCTGCAATTCCCATCCCTTACAGTGATTACCAATACATTTGATTTACTCAACTCATGACACAGCAGAAGACAACACAAGAACAGCTTCATTTTCACAATTTATTGACACCTCATTTCTTTCCCTTGAAGTATTCCTCAATCACATCCTTGGCTTGAGACTCCTTGCCATAATCCTGTAGAGAGAGAAGAGTTTTATTGAAAGGCATGTCAGAGACATCAAGACTGTAAAATACAGACCGGTCTAATAGCGATCAGTTTGATCAATCTATAGTGACAAAACAAAGTTTGTCTACAGAGATTCATTGAGGTATGTTTTCTAAGGTTTGCAGTGTTTCCCCTAGGAAGATGGACGCCGACACTTGGAAGGAATCTTTGTGTTCATGTGTTACTTTTAATGACAGCTGTCCTGTTCTAGCAGAAAGGTATCCTTAAATGACTGCTTCCCAAATCTATCCACTATCTCTACAATAAAAGGCACAAAAAGTGAAAAAATGAATCTTATAATATAGATATTTTTTTTAATAACTTAAGCTTCAGGGGGGGGCAGGGCCTAACATAACGTAGGGGAAAAACTGCTTTGTAAACACCAAGGAGGATTTCTTTCCTTGAATCATTGGCAGACCATTCTTCAAAAACATTTTCATAACTTAAGCAAAACAAATCTCCCCACCAGGACGAGGAAGAATTTATTTCAACTGTGACCCAATCTTTAAAAACATTGTAATGATTATTTCTTGAACATTTTTTTCCCCCCACAATACAGCTACACCAGCTTTACACAAAGGTAAGCTACATGGATTTGTGAAATTAGGCAGGCAGCCGCCCCGACAGTTTCAGAAAATAATCGAGCAGATTGCCAATCCCTGCATGATGATGTGTTACAATGTGTAGCCATTCTTAGGGACCCCAAACACCACAGGTAGGCGATGGGGCTCGTACCCTGGCTGTAATCTGGCCAAGTGTTTTTCAACTACAGCTGCATGGCACGAAGCACAGCACCTGGACTTGAATGGCACATCTAGTTACAAGCGGTCACATTTCTACTCCAACAAGTCGTTTCATCTCTCTATTGTGGTTCAGGAATAAACAATACTCGTCCAGTTCTGTAGTTTTAATAAGAATACGATAACAGCATTATTTACCTTGACAACGACACAGCTGCAGCCCACCACCTTGCGGGGTTTGCCCTCACGGTCAATCTTGCAGAGACCAACCCACTCGCCCAGCTTCTTGTTGTCATCAACCTGAAAAAGGAAAATTAAAGCGTCTGAAGGTGCGTAATCAATCAAGAAATCACATGTAACACAGCTCTAAAACTGCATTCACATTTGTAAACTACTCTGATCCACAGATAAAAGGCTGTATCTCAGACAAAAATTGGGTAACAATGGCAGTCTCTTCATAGTATTCAGTAGAGGGAGCCAAATTATCATCATCGATACAGCAGCACATGGATCCATTTAATCTTTATATTTTACTTGTCAATTTGCATGTATTGCGAGTTGCTTTTCACATATCCTTGTATTGGATCCTAAATCAGTTAACAATTTAGCAGGCCAGTTACCTTGATCAGGTTGATCTGATGCTCGGCGCAGAGGGCCTCCACCAGCTTGACGTACATGGGCTCGTCGCAGTTACCAGCGAGGGCGCAGAGGTGAGCCTGACGCCTGCAGAGGAACACAGACTTTACCTTCAGGAAGCACTACGCATAACTTTCATATTTACAAACTCTACGGCACATCTCAGACAGAAATTGGGTAACAGTGGCATTCTCCTCAGGGGAATTCAGTAGAGGGAGCCAAATTATCATCAGTGATACACCTGCTGACGACTAAAATACACAAAAAAAAAAAGCAAGATGTTTTCACACACTTGTCCAGGGCTTTGGCGGACTCCCGGATACCACGGGCAAGGCCATCGTTGATGAGTGCGGTCTTGAGCACTTCAGGGAGAGCGGTGTTGACATCCATGACACCTCCAGCAGCACTGCTACAAATAGACACACAAAATACAAGAAACCGTTACAGTTTTGATCAAGGCATACATGACAAATAAGTGGACTTCAGTGGAGCTGCTGGCATGTCAGAATATGGATCTCACTCATTGTAGAGTGAAGGGGTATCCGACAAAAGAATTAAAGTCATCATTCAAAAACCAGAGAGCTCACTTGAAAAGGAAAGACCGATTTAAATTAATGTTGACAAGCGCAAAATCTTATATTGAGTAATTAAGTATTGCTTGCAGCAGCAAACTAAAACTGAATTCTCTTTTGTAGACAATACTGAAATAATAACTGGAAGTAAAGCTATAAAAAAACATGTAAAGAAAAACACCCTGGGCAACATACTTGTGGATATTGTAATGCCACTTACTGAATAATGTTCCAATGATCATTTTAATTAAGGACACATGCATTTAAAAAAAAACACTGGTTCTAGTCATGTAGTGTTGAGTGTACTGCAACTCTTTCCTACCAAGACTTCAATTCAGCACAACAAACAGCTGACTTTACATCAAAAGACATTTTAGTTAAACTACTACACAGAAACACAACAAGTTCAAAACTGTTCAGAGGAGGCACTAAAAGCTGACTGACATTGAAGTAAATTAAATATTATTAATAACTCCAAGTGAGAAAGACTGACAGCTTATTAAACATGGATGTTTAAAATCACTTAGGTTGAAATGTGTTAAAATCTTTGAGGTTAAGAACTCAATGACACTTAAATACTAAATATTTCTACTTCTTTCAGCATCAACCACACACTCGTATAGAATATATAGTTGCATATTTTCTTCACTTTTTAGCCACAGAATATTAATAAGAAGTGAGTTTATATAAATTCAGCTGCAGAGTTTAAAGTTAATCACAATTTTTGAAGCATTTTTTACGACATTATTCTCCAATTACTGAAGTGTCTCATTGCTGTTTATGTTGTCTTTGCAGCATGATTTAAAATAGTTATGTTGATTAAAATGATACACCTAACATGTTTAGATTGTTTGTCAAGAAATCATCTTATTTCTTGCAGCTGCTGGAAACGCAGATATCAGATGTCCTAACACTGAGGCCAGATGAAGCTAAGCTACCAGACGAGTTGATTATAAACAAAATAATTATAACCAGAGAGGAGAACTCGTTTTGAGAAGCAGATATATTAACACATGCAAGTTCACACCAAATCGCTTTTCACAAAACACATTTTAATGCGCCGTAACCGGATTTTTTTCCCGCTAAAGAAAAGTTGTTAGGTAGCCATTTAACACGTAAAGGCTTCATGCTCACCCTTCCTCGGCCATCGTTGATTATTAATGGATGTTGGACTTAAAGGTCTGCAATAAACAAAAGATACAAAACAAGAATTATAATCCAACACAAAAATGTCACTATAGTGAATTCACGAAGTAAGATGTTTGAAAAATCCAACGGATAGTGAGGAGAGTTGAGGAAACACACCAAAGCTTCCTCTAGGGCAGCGGATAAAGAGGACGTCATAAGCCTGCGACATAGCTTTAATACCGCCAGGCCCCATCCGCTGCTTAAAGTGTAGTCCAGTGAACTGCCTGCTGTAGTTTGTGATTGTTGACTGGCTAGCTCATTTCCTTACTTTCTTACTCTTAAATTTTTATGCCGCGTCTTTCCCATTTGCTCTAAGGAAAAATACTTCCAGTGTTCCTCTTTCTTTTCTTTTTTTTTTTTTTTTTTTTTTTTTTACTAAAAACATATTTCGTGTCCATGGGACATGGAAATCCAAAGTGTTCAATCACTAATTGATTCATCATAAAATTGTTAGGCTTCATGAATATTTACATAAAATAAATAGGCCCAACACAACATAACTATGAAAGTTTTAAAATAATATTTTTGAATTTAGTTTTCTGGCCTAATAAAACCACCTGAATAAGACCTTTAAAATATTTCACTTTACACATATCATTTATGTAATTACCTTTTTGAATATATTGTTAAGCACCTTCCATGTCTCCATGTATAATTTCTACACTGTTCTAATTGTTTGCTAAAATAATCCTTTTTGTTAAGTCTTATTATGCCATGTCAATTTATTTTTGTATATTTATTTATTACCTCCCAATTGTTCCAGATTTCAAGAACTCCTTATTGAGTAAATTATTTTTTTCACAAGCTTGTTCTAGTCCTTTAGTAATCCAGGACTTGTCTTCATATTTATTCACACTCAGTGTGCATTGACTGTGGGATAGTGTTTGAAATAGGGTGTTAACGCTGATGAAGGCTAAGTGCTGAAACGCGTCCGTTGTTGTGTTGCTTTATTCTTTCCCGGATGAAGGAAACTAAAAGGACATTTGTGTGCTGACTTTCTTGTCTCCTTTTAGTCTTGTTGCGGTCGTGCACCTGGAATCGTGTTTACTGTCGAGTTTTGCTCCTTTTTTGCTGTTTTGGTAAAAATAGACACAAATTCATCATGAGCTTTGTTTGGATTATTATTTAAATAAACCTCTGTAGTCTTTGTTGTCTTAATTCCACTTGCTTCTATGGTATTAGGGGTTTAATATCAAATATGAAACATATTTGAATGTATGTTTATATCATAAAGGTTACTTCAGAGAGCAGTGTACAAAGTCCTGTCAGCAACAGGTTGTTAAAAGTATTCACAATTCTCCTTCATATTTTTTTTTTATATAATGCATGTTGGTCTCTCTTTAAGATGTTTGTGCTCTACATTTTGTGCTAGTGTGTTCCCACTATTTTGTAATTTAACCTATGGTCATTTCAAACCGTGTTGAGGGCAAATATGGTCAGTTGACTGTAAGTGTGATTTTATTTTTGTAGGTTTGATGACCCTTCACGGTGAACAGGACATGTTGACTCTGCAGATGAACATCACATACAAGCCTGTCTCGAATATGACAAATTCAAAAACTGTCATGCATTTACCTAAAAGGAAGACTAGACAAGAATGTTGATTTCATTGAAAATCGTACATTTACTTCTTTAAAAAAAAAAAAAAAACATTCAACAAATATGAATTCAATTTCAATCAAATAAAAGGAAAAAAAAACATTTTAATATAATCTTTCATAGATTCAATTATTTCTCAGAGTAGGATGAACCTGATATGAAGATATTGCAGTGAGTATAGGAGTGTGACTTGTGAGTTGCCCCATAGCTGGTCTCCATCTTTAGAGTTTCAGAAACTCCTCTAATTGTTCGTTCTCAATGGCATTCTCAAAAGCATCAATGTCCTGAAAGAGAGACAAAACGTTTCAGTTGAGGGAGAGCAGAAAAAACACAGAAAGAAAGAGAAAGGGAATCAGTTATCATAAATATTTATAAAAGAAGAAATAAAATCAGTGTTGATATTTTGATACTGTTAGCAGTCAGATTACTTTGCATTTATACTTCTTTTTTTTTTGGGGGGGGGGGGTGGCTTTTGTGCTATTATTTAGATAGGACAGATAGAGTAAGAAATCAGGAGAGAGAGTGGGGAATGACAGGAAAGGAGCCAGACAACGGACTTGAACCTTGGCCGCCCACTTGGAGGACGCCCAAAAATGTATACATTTTAAACATTAAAGTATACATTTTATTTCCTTTTTTAAAATTCACAATGCAACTTATTGATAAATCTAGCACTAATTGGGTCATTTGAGCATATCCCTGCTACCTTGAGCGATGATGCTAAGCTCAGCGTTGTCTTGCTCTATAAGCACTAAAGTGAAAGTCAGATGAGCACAAAGACAAAACAATGTATCCCTTAAGTGTATTGACAAAAAGTTATTGAGATATTTCAGCCTGACAAAACCACTTTAAAGCGTTGGCGCTACTGTTGAGAAAATGATATAAATGTCACTCCGAGACAATTTGTACCTCTTCCAAGTTGTTGTGCAAGCTGTCAGGAACAAAGCTCCAATTAATCAGTCATTACAAAATAAAATTGGAATGCTAAACTGATGAAATCCCTTAAGGGGACAACTGAGATGTAAATGGGAGTGTACGTCCTAGAATAGGGTGTGAGCAAGTTTAAAAAAAATGTAGCTGCCCACTAATGCATTTGTTTCTATTGACATGGTATACTGTTAATATTTATTCTATTTCTGAGTCGACGCCCTAGACTACCAAAGCGTTTTTTTCTTTTCTTTGGGACATATAAAACAAAACTGTGATGATTTACACTGGATTATAACCCACTTTGTTTTAAAGGCGTGTTACATTGTCAACACAAATGACCCCGTTTGTTCTGCAGGCTATCGTGCTAGACATACCCCACAGTAGTTGTCTCCGTTGCATATCTGAGGGGCCAATGCAGTCGGGTCTCCTGCTTTCTTCCTCATTAAATCCTTGGCATCAGAACCCTGAGTGATGTCCACTTTTTCGTATTCGATGCTCTTTGAGTCCAGGACAGAGAAGATTCTCTCCTGGTTTTTCCTCATCTTTAGGGGACAGATGGTCGATCATCAGTTATATCTACAAGATTATTTCTTTGATGTGAAGACTTGTGATTTGTAGTTATACCAAAATCTCTCTCGCAATATAATTCTCTTATCGCGTTATGAAGGCTACAAGATAAACAATGTGAACAAAGTACAGACAGTATGGTTTTATGATACACACTTTCCCTTTTGATGTGACCAGTTTACCAGCAAAGAGACAAAACAAACAAAAGGAAAAGAATGAACAGCATATACTTTACCATGACGTTCCCGCTCACGCTGGCATAAAACACTTGGAGTGACATATCTGCTATTTGAACAATACAAGTGTAATTTAGACAGAAAATACGCCTGTTTATAGAGAGAGAGTATAAGAGAGTTTGAGAAAAATGGAGAGGCGGTAGATGTTTCAGTATCCTTAATGCAGGTATGTACTGCTGGTTTACTACAGCAGCAGACAAGGTGAGCAGGTTTGGACACGGCTCGACTGCCTGCATGGGCACACCCACTTGTCTGACTGCCGTTCCAGTCATAACATGCCTCAGTATGTTGTGAAAGAGCATTAGTACAATATAGTGGTACCTTTCAGTTCTTGAGTGTCCCTCTGGCCCTGTGCATTCAAGGTCTCTTCAGTATACGCTGGCTTACCTCCCACAAACACTAACACAGGTTAGGTTAATTAGTAACTCTGAATTGTGTGTTGATGTGAGTGTGAGGGTGAATGGTTCTTGGACTCGAAGAGCTTTATTCATCCTGGTATAAGAATTCGTCCTTGCTGGAAATGTGAAAAGCTCCACCTGATAAATGTTCTAAAAGAATATGTCATTATGTGTTCTTCACTTTCCCACTCTATATGCAAAATGTAGAGAATATGGACACAAAACTCTGTGCGATATAAAACTTTATATGAAGCTTGATAACGCCGGGAATGGTAGCCTCAGTACTGCAATTGCCTTATTTCATAGTTGTTGTCATGATTTGGTCTTATTTAGTTTTGTATTTGTAATTTCTTGGCCTTGTGTTTCTCTATGTTCTAGTGTTTATTGTTATTGTTACATTCTTGAGTTTTCTGTGTCTTTAGTGTTTCCTAATGTTTTGTTGTTGTAGTTTTTACCCCGTGTGGCTCATGTCTTCAGTGTTTCTTCCTGCCTGTGTGTTTCCCTCCAGCTTTGGCCTCAAATTGTCCTTCTTCTGCTTCTCTTTTAATGGCGTATGTCAACTAGCTTTTGTACATTACTGCCACCTATGCTGGAGTGTGGGCCAGAATACCTATGACTATTAGAAATGAAATAATAAAAAAAATAAAAAATAATAATTAATTCAAAATTTTGTACACCCAAAAAAATCCCCCAAAAAATCATCAAAAGTTAATAAATTAATTCAATTATTTTAGTCCAGTTTCTTCTAAAAAATTAATTTTGTATGTTATTTCCTCATTATTCAACACATTTTTACGACTCATTATTTCAACATTTTCTCTGCTCTTCCTTTAGCTTTGCTCTCTGAGATTTACATTTCTGACAAGATAGAATAACATGTTGCGCCGTCTCTTGTTCCTGTCCACAATCACATAAACCTGACGGATGTTTACCTATTAAGTTCATTGTTTTATTTAACACTGTGTGTCCTCGTCTCGTCATGATAGTTTGTTCTCTCCTGTTTTATCTTATTGTTTCCATTCCTCCCACTTTCTTTTGAATTTGATAAAGATGACGTCCTTTTTGCTCTTCGTCCCATATCTTTTGCCGGGTGATTTTGCTTCAGACTACTGCTTTGGCCTCAGTTTTACTAAAAGTTACCGCCATGATTGTTTCTCTCCTTAAAGTTTGTTTATCTAGATTGTCAGCCAGTTCATTCCCCTCTATCCCCCTGTGAGCTGGTGCCCACATGAACCTAACAACTGCTTGTGATTTCTGCAATCTAAAGAGTGACTCGTGTATTTCATAAATTAAATCTAATCTACTTTGTGATGACATAGACTGCAATGATACCAGTGACAATAATGAATCTGAACACATTATTATTTTTCCAATTTATGTGTCTCTGTCCACTGCAATGCCATTCTAATCGCCAACATTTCAACTACTGCCAAATGATCTGATGTTCTTTCCTTATAACTTATATTTAATTCTGGAATGACAAAAGCAAATCCAGTTTTTCCTTTCTTAGACTCTGTAGAGATAAAAGCCTTATGTGTATATTCTCTTATACACTAAATATGCTAATTTTCCTTTGTCTTTTTGGTTCTGCATTTTGTTTTGAAGATAAAGATCTAAGGTCACAGGAGGAAATAATCAAAATAGTGTCACTAGTTACAGTCCTGTAGCGCTGTATGTTTTCCCATGTAATCCCATTTGTGTTGCCATTTTACTTGCTTCCCATACACAACTTTCTGCTTTTGCTTTTCCACTTTCCCAGCATGGTTGGAGGGCTTTCGCTGTTTGATGGTATTCCTCTTTATGACCTTGGAGATTTGCCCAGTAGCTAATCATTAGTTGTTTATGCTGAAGTTCATTGGAAACTCGCTCATCTCAACTTGGACTGCTGTGACTGGAGAAGCCCTAAGAGCCCTGCAACACAATCTTAAAGCCTGATTTTGTATAACCTGTATTTTCTTAAGTTGTGTTTTTGCTGCTCCCCTATATACTAGACTTCTATAATTTATAACAGTTCTTATCAAAACAACATAAATGTTCTTCAAAGCACTTCTACTTGCTCCCCAGTCTGACCCAGTCAGACATTTCATCTAAAGAAGAACAATATCAATTCCTACAGACAAATGGATCACAGACATCAACACTCTCCCGACAGATTTCAATTGGCAAAACATATGCAATAACACATTCTCTATGACCTGTAATTCAAAAACCCAACTCATTCAGTATAAAGTCCTCCATAGAACACACTACACCACTCACAAACTCTACCGTATGGGCTCAGCCAAAATAACACCTGTCCACACTGTCCCACCATAACTGATAATTACTTTCCTGCCCTCTGGACCTGCCACGCATTCAAACCTTCTGGTCGGAGGTCATGAGCAAGCTGTCTGAGATCCTCAGCCTCGGCATCGCCCTATGCCTCATCATTGCACTACTAGGTGACATTTCTTCTCTGCCACTCTCAAAACACCTCAAACCTTTCCTGTTAATGTCACTAACCATTGCCAAAAAAGTCATACTACTAAACTGGAAAGACAGAACCAAAATATTCATACTCCACTGGCTCAACCTACGCACAGACCACTCAAACCTCGAAAAACTCACAGCATCTTTGAAAAATAATATGGCTTCCTTTGAAAATATCTGGTCCTCCTTTTTGCAATATCTCCAACGCTGATTCCTCTTTACCTCCGCAAACAGCTCCTCCTGTAATCCTCATATCACTTTATTAAGTCGTTCTCTCATTATCATTTCTCTTATCTAACCATGCATATACTATTTTTTTCTTTTTCTGCTGTATTTTCAATTTATTCATTTTTATTTTTTTATTTGTTCTATTATTTATAAACATTTTCTTTTTTTGTTTGTTACTAAAACTACAGCAAACCATAATGTGCAGTACTTCTAGATAGCCACCCTTTCTTATTCTATCTTATTTGTCTATCTGGCTTTTGCCCCATTTGTCCTATGTGTTCGGTTTCGTCCAGTTTGTCTTGTGTGTCCGGTTTGTCTTGTCCCGTCTCTCAGATCACAAATTCCTGGTTGGCTCGTCTGCCAAATGTCTTAAGTATGTATGTATTATGTATTCAGTCTTTGTAAAACTGCAAAAGCAAATTTTTTTTTTTTTTTTAAAAACAACCATCCTGCATTTATTTTAATCTTGTTTATATGATCACTCCATGTCAATTTTGAATTAAATAAAAACCCATGTTTCTTTGGAGCATTTGCACCTGTCCATGTGTGATCAGATCACTAAGGACTACTTTTAAACCAAGTGTAAACTAGGCCTTTGTGTCTAGTTTCTACTCTAACATTTCAAAGGGATTTCATGTATTTGCTCCTTTAAATACACAATTTCCACTGGAGATATTATGAACATAAATGCAAATTATAATGATTATTATTTGAAAATTAACCATGATAATATAAAGGGTCTCTACAAAAACAAGAAATGTATATCTGTAACTAATATGTTTGTCTACTGTTTCTCAACTGCTGTTAAAGTAAAGTTTAATAATATTTTACACCATAATCAAAATATGTAATAGTGATGTGTAATATAATGGGAAATAAAAACAAAAAAAGACACGAGGCAAGTGTTAGAAATACAAATTTATTGAAAGCACTCACATTCAGGAAGAAAAAAAAGGCAATGAACATGCAATACAAATACAGTGTTATCAGTATTTCCACACATTTCAGAGGACCTAATTTCTGTGATTGGCACAACCTCCCAGGAAAATAAAAAGGCTTTCCCGGATTAGGTGTGAAACAAAAGTAAAGCGACTGTTTTCTGTTGACATAAGCATGATGTTTGCAACTTAAAATTGAATCATAAACTCTAACTGATCACTTCACGAAAAGTTTTAAAGCAAACGACAAAGAATGTATAAACGTAAAGCTGGCAGACTTGGTCTTAACGCATCAGTTTACTTTTAAACAGGTGTACAAACATACTTATCACAAGTCTTTGACTTTCTGCTTTCTATCTTAAAAAGCAACTTAAATATATAACTGGAAATATATCGTTGCTGTGTTCCTTTGTTGGCACATTATTGCATCTCTTTTGGTGTGGTTACAGGGGTGGCAGACTTGAAACTTGTAAGCAGAGAGGGCAGTAAACACCTCTTTTAAGAGAGCCAATTTAGCTATCACGACAGAACAAGTGGTTCAAGCTCATAACACACTCTCCCAGCCAAGTCCTCAGGGACCCTCTCGACAGAGTTATCAACATCCACGTTCTTGTCATCTGGGACTTGACTGTGTGCTGGTTCACTCACTTGGGTGTTGCGGGCTCTGAGAAAGAGAAAGAGAGTTGCAATTAAAATCACACGGGACTTCCAAGTTGTTCTAAATCTAAATTATAATTAATTAATTAAGAGTGAGTTTCATATTCTTAAAATGATAATACATTATTAAAAAACAACACATTATGGGCAGTTCTGCAATCAGCTATGATGTTTTTGTTTTCATTTCTACCTTCCATCATATGCTACATTGCTTCTTTCGTCAGCATCTTGTTTTATCGCTCCTCCAAACCGGTTAGAGAACTGTACCAAAGTATCTGAAAAGCCAACAGAAAATCACAATGACAACAGCAGTCATACAATCATCCAATAAAAAGGATAAAGAGCTACTTAAATACAGGAGTTAACCAATACAACAGGCCTATGTAATATTTAAACATGCAACAGTTTTTCTCCACTTGGGGGCAGCACAAAACATTACTAAAAGACCAGTGAAAAAGATAGGACAGACATGAACAAGAATCTGTGCAAAATTTCAGGTAACTATAGGCATCTCTAAGTTGATCTGGTTGTTATCCATTTGTATTTTTAGTCCAAATAAAAACTTTTCTTCAGTTTATAAAGTCTGTTTGTTGAAGTATTGTCGTATACCAGAAAGCCGCCATCGCCTTTTCCACAGCAGATAACCAGCAACCACCACAAGTAGCACCACCACAAGCCCCACCGAAACTCCTGTGACAACTGAGGAAGATGACTCCGCTATAGGGATGTAAAAATTGTGTAGTAAAGTTAGCAAAGGAGAAATCTTGCTTTTATTACTAAAAAAAAGAAAAACAAAATAAATTATATTTGGGTCTTACCAATTACAGTGACTTGGAGAGACTTTGAAGGAACTGAACAGAAGGATTCGGTAGAGATGTTAACCCCGTAGACACATTTATAGTCTCCTTGGTGTTCAATCTTAACTGCATCGAATTCAAAGTATGCCAGGTAGAAGATGGTATGGCCAAATGCTGGCTTAGCTTCAGTTGAGTTTACGTTGGACTTTGTCAGATAGAAGTAACCTCCAGGGTATCTTGAATGAGTTGAGCAAGTGACAGAGAAGCTGCTTCCTTCTTTGACTGATATTTTGTCAGGGCTGTAGACCACCATAGCATGAGGAGACGTCAGGGAGATGCTGGGAATCTCCAGTTGCACTGCAAAAAGGAGAGACAGACTTTTACATTTAAATTTTGCCATTTTGAATAGTTACATTTCCCCCAAACAAATGTTGTTTGTAAGTAGGCCAAAAGATGACTGACCTGTGACAGAGAGCTCAGCAATGTTTCCTTGAGGGTAATTGATGACTTCACTTGGCAATCTCTTTTGATATTCACAGAAGTATGACCCCTTGTGTTCGAAGTCCACTTTAGGGAAACTAAAGGTTGCAGCTTCGTTTTCAGAGTATTTTTCCATTTTAAATGTTCCCGGGGTCCTTTTCAGGACAAATGTCCCACCTAAATGTTCTGTCAGTACAGTGCAGGTGATATCAACTTTGTCTCCCCAGTTTACATCTGGACCAGGACTTAAAGTGATTTGGGGCTTTTTTAGGGCACCTGAAACAGAAAAAACATCAATGTAAGTGTTTTCATCCCAGGCAGCCTCCAATCGCAGGCCAGTTATGAGGTAGTGACTTTAAAAGATTTAAATACGCCAGACATCTTACCTAAACAGATCGCACCAGCATCTTCACCGTGCCCACAGTTATTTTCTCCAAATCCGGGATGCTGACATTGTGTGATAGCAGACTCATCCCCATTACAATTCACATTATCCAGCCATATTGGACCACTGCCTCTACCAAAATGGGCACTTGTTGGAGCAGAAACTGCATGACCACAGCCAAGCTGTTTACATACCACATCAGCATTCTGCATTTCCCATTCATCGTCACACACTGTTCCCCACTGGCCTTTATAGTGGACCTCCACTCTGCCTGAGCATTGACCTGTGCCACCAACCAACTGAATCCTTGCTGCATATGAAATCAGAAATAATATGTGCATAAAGGTAGGGAAAGGTGCTAAAGACATACTATACATACATTTTCATTCTTAAATACAACCTAAATACATTTTAATACTTGATGAATAAAGCACTGATGATATCACTTAAATTATTTCATAGCAGCTGGCCAATTAGAATACAATGTAGAATTAAGCTTGGATTTTGCACATGATTAACTATTTAAACCAAATAAAAAACACTAGGCTTTTTGTCATGGTAAATGTACACAGAAACACTTGTTAAACTATGACAGAAAATATTGTATTTTTCAAATGCACATGAGAATTTTGATCAAAATATTTGAAATGCAAGAGAGGCAAAAGTATTACCTGCACAGACAGCACCAGCATCTTTCTCATGCCCGCATGTTGAACTTCTGAAACCTCTGAGTGAGCATTGTTGAATAGATGTCACATTGTCAAAACAGTTATCGCTTGCCTCCACAACTGATCCGTTGCCTTGGGTAAAATGGGCACCCATGGGGGCGCTCACTGCCTCTCCACATTCCAGTTGACTACACACCACTGCAGCTTTAGTGTAAGTCCACTCTGTGTCACACACAGTGTGCCACTCCTCACCATGACGGACCTCTACTCTGCCAGAACATTCATCCTTACCATTAGCCAAACGGACCTCTAAACCTCCTGTAAGAAAAGTATACTAAAATGAATTTACAATATCAAATATTTCGTCATCAACCTAAAGCAATTTTGTACAATTGTCTATATAAAAAGAAACACAAACCAGAAAGACAAGTTACAAGTTACCTGCACTACGTTTAGGATTTGTGCTCTGTAAGATGTACATTTTTATATGTAGAAACAAGTTGTATCAAACTAAGTTAAAAAGACAGTAGAATTGGAAGGATTGTATGAAAAAAAAGTTGAAATGCAAACAAAACTTTAAAATATTTTTTTCATTTTTTGAAAATTCTTCTTACCAGTGCACAAAACACCAGCAACAGAAGTGATGTTGCATGTTTTGTCTCTGAATGGTCTTTGTGGGCACTGGGTCAGGGTTGACTCCCTTCCATTGCATTCAATTTGATCAATCCAGGTCTGTCCAGAGCCATGGCCATACTCAGCAATGGTGCTTATTTTATGAGCCCTCCCACAGCCTAGCTGTCTGCACACCACCATTGCGTCATTCAAATCCCAGGCATCACCACACACAGTCCCCCATTGGCCTTTGTCGTAGTACTCCACTCTTCCAACGCACCGACTTTGCCCATCCGCCAACCTTACATTGCCTGAAAATGAAAGTTTTTGTGTGAAAGCAAGTTGGGTCAAGCTTGATGCCTCCTGGGGGATCTGGAGGTTACCCCAAGCCATATATGATCCATACAGCGAGTTCTGGGTCTTTACTGGGGTCTCCTCCCAGTTGGATGTGCCCTGAAGACCTCCAAAGGCAGTCAACCAGAGGCATCTTGATCAGAGCTTGATAACTAAATAAGTAATTATATTCCAATAGTAGTCACCTTGACTGTTAGTTTAAAAGAGGAATTGATCCCAGACTCCTAGTTTCATCCTGTGGTTCATTGTTCTAAACTTAAAACCAAAGGGGAATTTTGTGCTTTATATTCCAAGGACCTCATACTAAAATAGTTGAGATAACAGTTTCAAGATATGATGATACAGGGTTAACCCAAAACTATAGATTTGGATGCCTGGGGCCATTGTCCAAGCTACCAAATTGGGAAAGGTAGTGAGAATGGGCTTGTTTAGATGATGTTAGTTAGAGGCCTTACAATAGAGTAAGTCTCCAATAAAATATAAACATTAAAGGAGGATAGCAAGAGAGTCAAGATCGTAAAGATACATATTTGAGGATTGGTGGACCTCATGAGTCAGTTTGGCACTGTCAAGTTGTCGACACTCCATGACCCTGATCTACTTTGAGGTTACATGCTAAATTAAATATACTGGACCATATTTTTAACAACAAAACAGACAAAGCATACTACTTAACGTAGAATGTTGAAAAGAAAATTTCTTAGTAATACATTAATCAGCAACAAGTGGCCTAATGAATTGAATTCCTAAAGTCAAACTCTTACCTGAACATTCAACTCCTGCCTCTTCAACGCTGCTGGTCCTCACATATTCTCTCAAGTCGCATTGCAAGAGAGAGCTCTCTCTACCACTACAGCTGATCTTATATCCTCTGGTTGCTTTGCTATGACCAAATGATCCTGAGACCTTGACAGGATCTCCACAATTCATCATTCTGCACACCACTTCAGCTTCACTCATTCCCCAGCTGATATAATATGCTGGTGACCAGCGACCGGCATTGTGTAACTCTACCCTGCCTGAGCACTGGCTAGTCCCGTTAATCAGTCGTATAGTAGCTAGAAAGCAAAGAAAAGAGAATTAGCTATTAGTTAATTTGTATTTAGACAAGATTGAAAGAAAAATGTGGTTGATGGATAAAAGGTAAAGATACCTGAGCACACAACACCAGCATCTTCGCCATGCCCACAGTTATTTTCTCCAAGAGTCGGATGTCGGCAATGCATCAGGGTTGTTTCATTACCAACACAACCAACATCATCCAGCCAGATGCTTCCTTGGCCTTGACCAAAAAAGGAACCAGATTTGGCTGTCTGAGCTGTTCCACAGTCCATGGCTCTGCACACCACCTCAGCATCTCTGATGTCCCACTCATCATCACAAACTGTTCCCCACTGGCCATCATGCAGAACCTCGACTCTCCCAGAGCAACGGTCGGTGCCATTGGCAAGCCGGATCTGTGGACTACCTGAGGATAAAGTGAAATGTGAAACAAATGTGCAAATAAAAAGTTGGGGATTATATAGACTCACAAACATATTTCATGTTGTCTTTCGTAAAGTCTATAGCTATTATAAATCCTGTCCATAGTTTGAGCACAAATTTAAGAAAATGTGACTTTGCTTCGGTTTAAAAGAGGATCACACAAAATGTGGTCATCATTGGTTGATGCAGTGAACACATATCATAGCAATGAAACATGACATGTGGGTGGCAGTAGCTCAGTCCCTATGGGACTTGGGTTGGGACCTGAAGTGTCACTGGTTCATGTGTTGGTATGGACCAAAGTATGGAACTTGGTTTGGCTGCTGGAGAGGTGCCAGCTTGCTTCACTGGCACTGCTGATGTGCCCTTGAGCAAAGTAACAAACTAGCAACTGCTCGGGCACTCTATTGTGTGCAGCCCCACACTCTGACATCTCTCCATTAGCGACCATCCTTTTTCTAAAATCTGAGAGATTAATACGGTATGCCTTCTTCTTCTTCAGACAACTAACTCCGACAACTGAACCTTTTTGTCAAGTTCAACTGTGCACTCAGTAGTTCAAATACAGTCAAACTTTGCAATGAATTTCCTTTGATGTGTTAGCTACACTGACGACAAATTATTCTTACAGAAGAATAATTATTTTTGTCACCATTCCAAAGAAAGGTTAAAAACCAACAAGTAAATAATCAAGAAAGACCGAAAACACATAGTTGCTTTGGTTGCTTTCATGGTATTTAACTTCATAATAACTATTTTGTTAATAAATAGTGTGTTATTGATTATAATAACTTTTTGAACAAGTACTCACAACCCCACTCAGGATTAATGTTATTTATGATAATTAGAGATTTATGTTAGATCCAACCTCACTACATTCCATAAAAAGGCCAATCATGTTTCAATCATCACATCTTTTCTAACAGTGTAGTAATCACTATCTTTGGTGTCTTACCTTCACATGAAAGCGAAACACTGTCACATCTTCCTGCGAAGTCCTGAATCCCACACTGGGCAATAGAGCTCACATTGCCAGAGCATCTACTAGTAAACCCTCTCATTCCACTTTCGCCAAAATCGTCTTGGGATTTTTTTGGAGCTCCACAAAAGAGTTCCTTACACACCACTGCAGCCTCTTCAGGGCCCCAGTTATTATTACACATTTTTCCCCATCGGCCATCATGGAAGACTTCCAGTCTGCCGGAGCAGGCTTCAGTCCCATTGGACAATTTGACAGTTGCTGTAAAGCAAAGAGTTAGAGAGGAAGTATTTTAAAATGTGCAAGTAAATGTTAATATTTCAGCAATGATGAGCTGTGTTTTGTACTTTATGCCATCCTGTTTTTAGGATGGTATTTTATGTGGTTAGAAGAACCGAATCTACTTCTTATAAGGCACAACACGGGATATTGCCAAATATCAAAGATATATAGTCAAATAGTCAAAGAACAAACACATAAAGAGGAACAGCCAATGATGATTGTGACATGCTGCAGGAGGATTTTCTTACACTCTAGAGATGTGTAAATTATTCTCCTGCTAGAAATTCAGAATTTACAGGAAGAGAAAGGTAGTAGATTTATTCCCCAGTAAAAATTAGCACGTGTAAACACTGCAGACATTGCACACACACAAACAAATGGAAATGTCTCTTTTTTTAACAGATAAGCATGGCAGTTCTTGTTCTGCTTTTTGTGTCAGTATAAAGTCAGCATATGCCATGTTTGTTGCTAGATTGCTCTGGCACTAAAAAATGTGGGTATCATTGAGATTTCACAGACATGTGGCAATCTTAAGCAACAAACAGTTAAGCTAAGCATGTGTTACCTGAGCAAACGACTCCAGCATCTTCACTGTGATCGCAGTCGTGCTCTCCGAAACCTCTGTGAGGGCAGTCAGCGAGGGACTTCTCATGACCAGTACACTCAACATCATCTAACCAAACCTGATCCTGACCAGTGCCGAAGAAGGCTTTGTACTTCACAAATAGAGCATTCCCACAACTCATCTCATGACACACCACAGCTGCTTCCTGCATGCCCCATCGGTCGTCACATATTGTCCCCCACTGTCCATCGTGGTAGACCTCCACCCGGCCTGAGCATCGATTTGTCCCATTAACGAGCCGGATCGGTTTACTATCTGTCGGATGAAATACAAATCAAGGGCATCAAAATCAGCAGGTAATATGTCAGTGTGAGGTTATCCGATATAGTGTTAAAACATGGATGCCTTACGTGTACAGAGAGTCGTAGCGTCAACACAGTTTTCCTTCATTTGTTGGATTGTGCACTGAGAGACAGAGGTCTCATTTCCAAAACAGCTGATTTTTAAACCACCCAAAACGTTTGCTTCTCCGAAATCAGGCACCTCTGTCTGCACAGCAGGAGTGCCGCAGTTGATCTCTCTGCACATGACCTCAGCTTCTTTCATGTTCCAGTCATTGTTGCACACTCGGTTCCAGCGACCATCATGGTAGACCTCCACTCTGCCATTACAGCGGTTGCTTCCGTTGATGGCCTTAACATGATCTGCAAAAAAGTGTAGAGAAATGTAAAAAGAAAAAAACAAGTGTGGAACAGGCCAAAGTGTATTTAAATAGTAATTGTATTAAGGACATCAAATTGACAAGCAGTACCAATAAAAATGTAATTAAACAACCTATTTAAAAACTCACAAGCTGTTGTAACTTTTTCAAAATGTGGGACAGCAACGATGATATTAAGAAGGTCATTGCCAAAAAAGGTCACAGTCTTTAAATCTTTGCGTTGTAAATGAGCAAGTCCTAACAAATAAATATCACAAAACTTTCCTATAAAAAGATAAAAAGTCCTCGTTCTTATCTTGTTTAATTTCCAACTAAGGCTAAAATAAATATTAAAAAATTTACACAACTTCCGTTAACAAAGACAATTATTCAGCCTCTCAAAACAGCTTTAAAGTTCAAAATAAGGTCTGCTTAGACTGCTAAGGCTTTGTTTATATCCCATCTCTTCATTCTGCCCTTTGTACTTTACATTTGCAGCAGTTGGTCAGGTGTTGACATGGCTGTTGTGTCACTGCAACAGTAATAGCTTTTGAACACAAGATGCAATAATATGATGAGTTACTGAAATGCTGAGTTAGCTGCGTGTCTCTGTACTTCCTTATTTTTCATGATGGCCTTCCTGACATGAGAACAATTTCTCTTCTCGGTATGAATTGAGGAAGGATACTTGCAATGTGGCTAAATCAACACACTCCATGATTTCAGGTTAGTGCATCATTAATATTTAAAGTTAACTTTTTTTCAGGAAATCAGGCTCAGAAGTACATAACAGAAACAGCATTTAGAGAAAAGAGCTTGGCTTAGGCCAAAGGTGTCAAAAAGAACATAAGAACTCTCACTAATTTATACCTTTTTAATGGTATGTCTTAAAACTATTCAACATTTCTCCTTCTTACATTTTCCCAGTTTGCAGTCTTTGAGCTAAGCTATTCTAGGCAGCTTTAGCATTATATGAAGACTTGTCATTTTGTAGACTGCTATGTGCCATGTCTTTGAAGTATCTTATTCTACAGGTCATAGTAATTCAAAGCTTATACAAAAGGCCACAAGAATTGTTTTATATTCTTGAAGACACTTTTCTCTTAACCCAAAGGCTTGTTCGGCTCTTTAGCAGTGGACAGCGCTTGAACTATAAGCCAAGTAGTCAAATGAGAGCATTTCACACCTCATATGAACAACTCTAATATGACTTCATCCATTAGCCTACTAATGAACCACAGAGGCTTAGCTCTGTCCACCAATCAATTTATAAATAATGATAATTCCTAGCTTTACTTGCCATTAGCTAGCTAACATTAGCATTCATACAGTTTGCTTGGAATCTACCCTTTTCTTTCATTGTGTGCCACTTTTATATATAACAGTTAGTTCAGACCAAGCAATCTGATTGGACAAGAGGCCTTCCATGAGTGACAGGAGAATAACATCCCTAGGTCTGTGTCCGAAACAGTGTATTTTCATACTATTCATACCAAATGTGACGTCAAAATGAGTATATATGTTTCAAAAACATTGTATGTACTTTTGTGTATGCCTGAAATACCCAGATGTATACTAGATCGGGCAGAGTTTTTAAGTATGAAACGGGAGAACACTGGTCATACTAAAACACCCCATATATTATTCGGAAAGTCCACCTAGAGGCAGTAGGACAATCGCGACAGACAATCTCCGAGCATGTAATCAAGCGGCTGCCTAATGTTTTCTGTTACAGCTAGACTATCCAATTGCTGAGATTGCCAGCCAGCCAACTACAGTAGCAGCTTAAAAAAAATACAGTTTACATACTGCCAAATAATATTAAATGGCTATGTAGTTGTATAAGCAAAGTAAACGTTTGCATATTGTTGAATTATATTTACGGATCGATGGTCATGCTATAGCTTGATGCTAGCTCATCCAATGGAGCTCGGACTGGAAGTACGTCGCTGACCTGTCATTGCATGTTGCGAACTGGTTGAGAACGGCATTCTCATGGTCTGGTTAGAATGCAGTATGCACATTTTGAGTGTGTAGTAGGCAGTATGTATGTGGTTTCGGACACAGTATGGGACTTTTTACATTATTTATCACAGGAGTACATAGCCTTCTTTTAATTGACATTTACAGCTGACAGTGTTTTTCTTTATTCATCTATCTCATACCTCAGAATCACACAACAGACTGTAATTTCCCTGGTTTCATGATATAATGAATTTATTTTAACACACAATAAAAGGTTCTACAAATTAGCTGCTCTGTGGTAATCATGGACACAAGAGGAGTAGCCAGAGTGCAGTAGCACAGAATTTTTGGTTGCTTGGCAACAGTCTAGTTTCATATGAATTGTGGAACTAGTTGAGTTGGTGGAGTTACAAGATAATCTGTAGGACTAGTTGATTTTTACAATTCACCACTTTTTTCTGCTTGTCTTCCTGTCGTATTAAAGCTATATCACACTCGAGGTCGAGATCTTGTTCTGGATATCAGCACCGCTGTGATTGTCTTTACAGCAGTGCTGATATTCAGTATAACATATCAACCTTTCTGTTTAGTTTTTTTTTTCATATTGTTTTGTCTTGAAAAAGATTTTCCTCCAGATATTCAACCTATTGTTGTTTCTGTTGCTGAGCATTTTTTTAAGATTCCCTTTTTTTATACAATACTATGAAAAAAACCTGTAACAGAATGAGACATATTACACCAGACTCAGAACCTCCAACCCTGTGACATCAGAAGAAAGTGTCGCCTATATTAATACTCTGATTCTCCGAATGAAGTGTCTGAAAATAATTAGAAATCAAGCGTAGTCCCACTGTTGTTTCAGCATAAAAAAAAATAACACAAGAGGACCATTAAACTAAAAGGAACTATAATATAATGAATAAACTCAATCTTACCTGAACAGATCACTCCAGCATCTTCACCATGGCCACAGTTATTTTCCCCAATTGGTCTGTGTAAGCACTTAAGGATGGACGCCTCTGTACCAGCACATTGCACATCATCCAACCAGATTTCATTCTTTCCCTCTCCGAAAAAGGCCTGTTTTTTGGCCTCTATGGCTGTCCCACAGTCTAACTCTCGACACACCACGTCAGCGTTGGCAAGGCTCCACTGATCATCACACACTGTCCCCCAACTGTCCCTGTGGAAGATTTCCACTCTGCCTGAGCAACGTGACGGTCCAACCAGCTTGATTTTATCACATTCTGTAAAATAAAAATGAACACAAAGCTAAGACTGAGGCACCATGAGCTCTACAATCATAAGGGTGTAAACATGTATCTAAATAATGGGTTGATGGCATGAAAAAAAAACATGAATCTAACTGACCTGTTAGCAGCGAAAGGCTCAGTAGACCTACAAGAGAAAGGTACAATCAAACTCTTGCCAATGACATCTACAGAATACTGTTTAATAAAGGCAAAGCCATAAGCGCTGTAATTTTTCTGATTTATTACATATAAGTACAAGGAACTTCCCGATGTACCATTTAATTTCATTAGTGTAATAGTTTAACATTAACCTTGTCAATAGGCCCAAAGAATAGCCATTTGGCACATTTAGGCATAAACATATTCAAATTAAATAAGCTGTGAGACTCCATTAAACATCTCTTTTTCTGGATTCCACTCATGCTGATTGGAGATAAGAAACTCATAAGAAAAAGGAAGAAGTTAAATGGAAAAAAAAACTTACCTATTGACAGATAAATAACAAAATGTTGTTTTTCCATGAGAACAAAACTCATAATGTGTGGTTGGAGCAGATCAGTGCTGTCAATTAACAACAAAAACATTGTTAAAAATAACATAGTTACTGTTCATTTCTCTGTTATTTCCATATCTGTCTTCGGAAAGAACATGTAGAGCTTGTCGATTCTTAACCAACAAATCTCTGCCAAACAAGACCATGAGAGCATTCTTACCTTTTAAATTTGAATATCCTCAGCTAATACAATAAGCTTAAAACTTAAAAGAAGTTGATTACGAAAGAAACATGTAACGAATAGACGCCCCATGTACAGATCCAGTAATTGTTTTGAATAAAGGGGGCTGCCTGGACTTGGACTGCAACCTGGATGGATGTTGACATTTTGATCAATCATTAAAGGCGGAGGATGACGGGAGATTTCATTTTGTTTAACACAATATCTACATCACCATTTCAAAAATACCACGTTCAACAGTAAAAATCCAACAAAATGTGACATAATACTGGGAAACATAATACTGGGAAACAGCTATACATGCTAGCAACACACATTTTTGGACATAACCTGCAGAGGGGTAAAAGAAAGATCAAAGAGATCAGAAGCTGAGTTACTGTCAAGAGGTGGACTTGACCATTGACTCCCATTGCCTAAGCCCCACAACGTGTTCCCTCCCTCCCTGGGTTATCCAATTTGTAGCCAAGTCAGGTCAAATTACACAAAATCGCATATGTTTTGTATCATATGTTGCGTCTTAAATATCAAAATATTAATTGAAAACCAATACACATTTATTCTTATTCTCAAGTTTTGCAGTTTACTCAAAATGTTGCAGTGGCCAACTTGATCCTGTCATTAATTATTCATCATCAAAGATGAAAAAACAATTACGTTTTTGATTTCAATTTGGTTGAATTAGGTTTTCGCTTCTCACAATGAGATTCTTTGGCTTCAGAAGACCTGAATTATTCTACAAAGTCGAAGTACATTTCTTTGTCATCAGTTTTGTGAGAAAAAGAAGGTATACCATGAAGGATAACATTTCCCATTGGTTGGTGCACAAATGTTGCAGCAATAAATAAATAAAAAAAATGCTGATGCAAAAAAGACAGCCATGGCTAAAATCCCTTTTTTTTTTGCTATAAGTTTTAAAGATCCCTTACAAGCAGAAACTAACCTGTTATATTCTATAGAAGTAAATCTGTATCTTTGATCTTTGACATCTCATATTATACAAATATGTCTTACCTTAAAGCATGAACTGGTGAGTTTTTTTTCCTGAAATGAGCAACAGAACAGTTATGAGCTGAGGCAACAGACCTCAATCCATTAACATCTGCTCTCTCACAAATTCTCAACTTGACAGAACCAGTTTTTATCCCAGCTCCAAAAGTAATTATGACTCACAGGGCCTGAGAGTGATCTACACTTCCTCTTCTCTTTAATGCTGTGCACCTCTGAACTTCAATTGTTATTTGAATTTTTTTAATTTCCTGTTATGCACCTCAAACTTCGTTTGAATTTATTTTGAGACTTCCATGTGTCACACCTTTGCATTTTAAACGATTGAATGTGATCTGTACTATTTTTTTCTTTTCATAATGTCAGGTGAGAATAAGTCAGAGATTTTTTTTTAACTTATTTTGTATCTTTTTTTTGCAGCCCATTTTAGTTTTTGCATCATTAATATCCTTGTTAAAATAAAATTACATTTTATACATGGTAAAACATTTGACTTCCCCTTTTGGTCATGGCTATGATCCTGTTTTATTGAATTTATTTGCATTTTGACATTGATTTTGTTTGTAGGATGTTCTGATTGGTTTCTGAGAATTTCTGGTCTCAAACGTGGTTTTCTACCTTGTGAGCTGAGCCACGATGCTTTTTGTTCTTAAGAACAAACTGTCAGATTACATTGAGGCTGTACATGATGTTGCATAACTAAACATGTCAATTCAGCATTTTATGGTTGCCTGTTTTGACCATCTGTTAGCAAATGTAGAATTTCCTTAATTTACATCCGGTTACAGTTGGACACAATTTCACCACACTTCTAATTAGTTTATTTCTAATCATTTATTACACTAAAAACATTTTTGCCACAAAATGGGAAACTGGGGAAACTTCATTTGAAACCTCGAGCAGAACCAGACCCATTGGTGAACAGCCATCTGACGTTACCATCGGGGTAATAAGGAAGATAGAAAGAGAAACAGAAAAACAGACGGAGAGACAGCAACAAACAACAAAAGATGAGAGAATACTTGAAGCACAACTTTCCTATTAGAAAAATTGTAACAGCTGGAGTCAAAAAAAAGCATGCAATCTGAAACAATTCACAGGAACCAGCAAGAAAAGGGAAGTTAAGAACTCCCAAAAGATGTAGGCCAGAGTTTTTAACATGCATTAATGGAAAATCAATACTGCACCCCAAAAGTGAAGCCTTTATCAGAATAACCTCAAAGAATAATCTCTTCAGGTCTCTTAATGAAACAGTATTAGATTTCTTCCAGCTCTAACACATCATGTAATGAGGAGCAGATAGCAGGTATTGCATTTATTTTTTTGTTTGTTTATTTAACATAGACATACAGTAACGTTGGTGCTGTAACATTTAACTATGCACGAGTCCCAAATGCACTGCTCTATGTGTTTTAGCAAAATGCTCATTTGCAACACCTGTCCACGGGAGGCTTTTAGAAGTAACAGACTGAAATAAAGAAGAAAAAAAGAGAAGACGATCGAAACAGTTCAGTTATGAAAACAGTACAGTTATGACTGCAAACACAGTTAAAATACAGTGACAAAAAGAAGGCGTGTGAGCTTGTTTTTAAATGTGGGAACACCGCTGTTTCTTGTATTGTTTGACTTTAGAGCCACAAAGGTTGGGAACCAGTGCTCTTGACTTTTAAAAATGGGTAATAGACCCACTAACCTCAGTCATTTCTAATGACAGAACTGTGGAAAGTGAGGTTTGGAGAGCACAGCAGGTTAAACACATATTGGTGTCTGGGTAAATCATTACACACAGAGATATGCAACATCTCTGATGGGAAATGACAGTTACAACTCACTATGACGGGCCAAACAGGAAAAACACAATAATGTTTGTGCATGCCTAACATGACCAAATGCATTGGGATTATACAGTAAGGTATGAAACATGATTTCAGCTCCTTTGATAGACTTCTTTAAAAATGTTACATCCACGGAGTATGTGTGCAACTTTTTAAACTACAAATGTTCTTCACCTGCCTTATCTTTATGTCAAAACTAAATTTTACCAACTTCCAGCTCAGAGGTCAGTAAATTCATTCTTCTATCTTATTTTTGCAATCTTTGGAAAAAAAAAAAGGTTGATCCAGAGATTTCTATGCTCTGAGATCGACTGTCTTCAAGTATAAGAATAGAGCAAAATCAGTAACTGGCAACAGAACATCTCCAAAGATATGCCCACTTGACACTTTATTAGTATATTAGAAAATTGTAGAAAAAAGTTGAGCTTTCTGTTGCCAATGTTTAAAAGTTTGATTGAAATGTGTGAATATTAACAGTCCATTTATACCTTTATGTAGCAAAATATTTTAGTAAAAATACAAAAAAATGAAAAAGATAAGTGATGCATATGAACAAAATGTTTTATGTCTGTTCTGCAAACGCATAATAAGAGTGTTACTGAGCCATTTCCAAGCAGGAAAACACCACGTTTAATTAGAAAACAGTCACAGGCGAAGAGGTGTAACAAACTGCATTTAGTCACTTTGCGGTCCAACGGAATGGTGGGGTCCATTCACAACAATTACAACATAGACATCACATGATTTCACAAGAAATGAGGATACAACTCAGCAGAATAGGAATGGGCCTAATTTCGACAGCAACAGATGCACATTTAGTAGGATGTCGCCTACACGATAATTAAAATAATATATCTGTTCACATGATGGCACTAACTTTAGGGAGGAATTCATACTGCAGGTCAACATGTGTGTTTGTGTCATTTATTCATGTGTAAACAAACCTGAATTTATGAACCGCCAACCCAAGATCATTTCATAAGGATTAAAGATTTACAGTTGGTTATAAGGAGAGAGGACAAAGAATACAAGATTTTGAGTTATATTTAACTTACTAAAGCATCTGTGCACTTCTAAGACATTTGGACATATGTAAGAGTGAGAAGGAGAGGCACAGCAGGAGAAGCAGAGGAGCTTTGCCACTAGTTTATCTCTGAGCAATAAAAGATTATTTCTCATCCCCTGTCCTCTGACATTTAAAACCTGGATTAATAATCTGTGAAGTGTACTCCTTCCATGAAGTGTTCTCATGTGGTCCTGATTGTATTTGTGTTTAAGTGGTCTTGGTCAGAGCATAGTGTTGGTGATTATGTATATTTTTCATGTTTTCAACAAATCCCATGAAAAGACCAATGAGGACTATTATATCATATTCCTCTGTGTCACAGGGCTCCGTTATTGAAAATACACACATGAATAACAAACAGCAATGCACTGGATGACATGTTTTTTCATTATAATAAACCCAGACAATGTTGTTTATTTTGAGTCAATCCCACATGAACGGTCCTGCTGCTACACCAACTGTGGATTAATCCACGGCTTAAAATAGTTCCTACAAACGCTCTATTTATTCTCGTTTGAGCTACATTGCATGCTAAAATAAAATAAAAACTTCAGTGCATTCTGATTGGAGAGTGTTTTGGTCTGATCTATGAATTTTCAGACGATGAAAAACATGTAGAAAAACGCCAACTTTGTCCGGTGATTGAACTAGCTTGACAGAGAAGATACAAAAACAAGGTCAGTTTTACTTTTTTATGTCGGCAGTGTCAAACATAAATGCTGGTGATATTTTAAGCTCACATATGCTTCAGGATTGTTAGCATTTGGTCCCATCTGCTTGCCTTTGTGGTAAGCTGCAGTGTCACTCTCACCTCTAGGAAAGCTCTCCGACACACTTGTAAACACACTAATACACACAAACACACAAAAACATAGCCAGAAAGTAAGGTTGGTCCTCGTGTTGTTTCAGGTTGCATTAAGTGCTGCCTCTCAGGTCCCCTTCTTTTAACACAGCCTTCATTTACAGCTGCTGATTGAGACAGACAAACAGCGCACACACTAAGGCATGCACACACACATATACACAAACACTCACACACATGCCGAATATACACACAGGATACAACAGGTGTGTATACAGGTGACTTGTGCTAAATCAACTGATGCAAAAGCTGCTACATACATCTTTTAGTTCGCACAGAATGGATGCTACGGACAGAGTTTGTCAAAGTGTGTTAAACATGAGTAGGGAACACAACAAAGTCAATCTTCTTCTTCTTCTCTGATGAAGTCACTTCTTTCAAGGATCAGCACTTCTGGAGAAGTGGGTGATGGCGTAATGTTGTTTTAAAAGTCAGGAGAGGTAGGAGAGGGGGACATCTGTTGGCGTCTTAAGTTTGGCAACATGCTGGCAAGGTAGCAGAAAGAACACAAGAAGTGTTTTTTTTGGACATCTTGTTCCAGCAGTTTAATCCAGGCTATGACTCAGAGTCCTAGAGAAATGGGGGGGGAAGGAAAACGGATGGCACACATTGTTAATTATGTTCTTCTTTTTGGAAAACCTATTATATAATAAAAGGTTGTATGCAAGGCATGATCATTTCAAACTGAATCTATCTGCTATTTACTGCTGTTTTTTTTTCCATTATCAGATCTCATGTAACTTACTTATCCAATCATACTCTAGCAGAGAGACATTGAAGGGATGTGACTGGATGAAAATCTAATGATACTTAATAGTGATGAATGGAAACGAGCTCCTCGTTCCCTCCTGATGTCTTACAGTAAGATCATCAAATGGTCAATGTTTATTTTATTTTTTTACCAAAATAGAACAAGTCCAGCTTCCATATGAGGATGAAACATCATCTACTGTATAATAAATGATTTTTGAACATTAATTATACTGATTTTTAAAGAGAAAACACCAGCTCAGTCTACTTAAACTGAATCAAACCCAGCATTTATCACGCCAGCGTAGAGTAACTGTAATGAACAGAACATTATAAAACAATCCTTAAGCCCTTTTAATTATCTTCATGCCAGATGATTCTCCCATGTTCTTTTATAAGATTAATCTTTCCTCCAATACAGTATCTCCACTTATCTACTGTGCAAACAGAAGATACCAGAGTTTATACAGTTTTGTTTTCAGATAAAAAAAATTTGGCCTTTTTGATATTATTATATTAAAACAGTTTAAGAGTGACAGGAAATGGCTAGAGGAAAGAGTATGGGATGACATGCAGCAAGGGACTGAGGTTGGATTTGTACCCACATTCGCTGCGGCGAGGACTATAGCCTCTGTACATGGGGCGCGCAACATAACCGCTAGGCTATCGGCGCTCAAGAGATGTCCACAGTTGAACAGAAGAAGATTGATGCCCAACCCACTTAGTCCTTATAGCCTTCTTGGCCAACATTCAAAGAAATTGAATTACTTCATTTTGCCCCTTCAAAGGGTTTGGTATACTTCCTAGTAGGCATAAAACTGGACAAGGAGCCTATTGTCGCCCTATCACCTTACTTATTTCTTAACTTATTGCTCTCCAAATAATAGCATTGTTTCACACAAAGACAATGTATTCCAGTATTTTGTTTTGCATTTCGGGACACTCATATTGTAAATGTGCTGCAAAAAGATATGACGATTTATGACGATATAAACAATATGGAAGATATTGCATTACAGCTGGTTTGGCAGTTGCCCATTTACAGACCTTCAGATGTCATGTAGGGCCTACCAGTATACATTAATGTACTTCTTGTAATGTATGTCTTTATGTCTTATCTCTTTGTTGAGAGACAGCAGATGTAAATAAAATCTAATTTGATACAGCTTTAATCTAGCCGTTACCCCCCTGGTGCACTAGGCAAGATTTTAGCAGGTGCCCCTTGTATTGCAACCAGATGGGCTCAATCCTCCATGTTTGATGCAGGAACTATGATTATCTAAATTCTAGGAGGATCTAATAAGAAGAAGCTAATGTGCATGAACTAGCTACAAGTTGAAATGTTTCAGAGACAGCTTTCAGAGACTAGAGGATGTTTATCCAGCAGAGGGGAGAAGTGATGCAGGTTTTCAAGTTTTAGGAAGTCAGAGCAGACAGGAAACCTTGTGGGCCATATGATACATACAGAGACAGCGGTGGTGTGTTTCTGTCTTCAATAGTGAATGCATTACGGAGCCACAACTCATGTATACTCCCTTACTTTGACTGAGGGCTGAGAGCTGAGCCCAAGGAATGCAAACACTGTGTTGTCCTCCTTTGACTGGAAGAAATCTTCATAGTCCTGAGAGAGAGATAGAAACAAGAGGATGTTACATAATCTCTACAAGTTGAAAGGACGGGAGTAAAGATCCGTGCCAAATACTGTTGCTTTAAATATAATTCAGTGACTATGACATCGGGGAGTAATGTTGGATTACCTTGGCCGGTGAGAGTGACGGACAGGAGGAGCAGATAATCTGCCCCGTCCATGAAACGGGATTAAGACAGGATTACAGAGGAGCATGCAAACTCAGTGGAGGACATTAACTGGCATGCTCTGACTGAATGAACTCATTTAGCAGCATATCTAGCTCCACCTTATATGGCCTTACTTTACAATCAGAGCCACATTTTATGATACAACTAACAAAAATGATCCCAGACATCACTGTCAGAGTGTATAAATTTAGCTAATGTTACAGTTTTTTTTATGACAAGCCTTAAGAAAGAAATTGTCAGCGTACCCCACAGTAGTGATCCTCATTGAAGATCTGTGGAGGCAGTGGGTTGCCTTTCTCCGGACACTTGTCTTTGGGGATGTTTTGGTACATCCACAGCCTCTTCTCCTCCAGCATGGTGATGTCAACTTCCTGGAAACTGATTCGATTGGCCTCCAGGAAACCCACGACTGCCTGCTGGTGCTTTTTTACCTGTAAGAAGGAAAATAAATATGCAAAAGAGAGAAATGTTTTCATGCATGTATGTGTGAAAAAAAAGTGCGATCAAACACTGTACTATGTGAATTTTCCATATCCCATGTCTGTATACTGTGCTTAGCCATTAAGGGTCCTAAATACTCTCATGTAATATTAGACTGTAAACTGAAACCCACTGAAGCAGAGCAGCATGTCTTTTTCACTCTCACACATGTATAGTGTATGTTTTCTCTGTGTAGTGCTTCCTTTGGTAATTGTTACATTAGGAAGGATTATTGATTAGCGGAGGAGCTTCTTGAAATCTTAAACCTGACGTCCTTTTATCTGCCATGACCTTTAATCACATCAATACAGTTCCTGATGAGATCTCAGACTTAAACAATAAGATTTTGATGAATAATCTATTGTTTAGATAGATTATAGATTTTTGTATCTTTTATAAATAAAAATGGGATGCACCGATGTATTGATTTAACATCAGCATTGCCCGATATCAGCTGGGTTGACAAACATCGGCCCGTCTGCAAATAATGTGGCATGCAACGTGTCAGTAGCAGATGTGTAACTGCGGTGTTGCGCCATCGTTTATTGCGGAGAAGGACAAACTGGATGGTCTCTGGGGAAGATCAGCGACATGCAGTTTGTGAGACATGTTCACATGTTCCAGTGACATTTCAAGAGGAGGGACTAATAACTTTAATTTAAATACATCACATCTCAAAGCTGATTAGAAAAACAGACACGAAGAATTACAAAGTAATGAAAAAATCATCAATATTGTGATCCACAACTGGCTTTTATTTGTTTAGTAAAGATCGTTATCAGGCCTGATTTTCACAATCAGTGCATCTCCGTTATAAAGTAATGAATGATGAAGTTTTGTGTTTCCGTTCCTACTTGTGGTTTATGGGATGGATGCAATAGCTCCCTATGGTATTGTCGTACATGCGCTTGGACACTGTGTGTGTGTGTGTGTGTGTGTGTGTGTGTGTGTGTGTGTGTGTGTGTGGAAGTGCATGAGAGTGTCTTTAAATGCTGAGAAAAACAAAATGTCCAAGGATAATTTTAGAACATAGAAAAACTCCCATGGATGGGAAGGTTGTAAACAAAGACACACAGTCCTGTAACTACTGTGTGGCTCCATCTATCCTACAGGAACAAGGAAGAAAGTCATTTATATCATAATTGAGGGTAATTTGCATAATTTGAACGGTCAAGTAACATTTTCTTCATTTACCTGTAGCCTGCATTATCTTTTAATTAATCTGAAAATAAATTTAAAAAAGTACACTGTTGAAAATGTTTATAAGAAGGGGCTTTTTTATTGTTTTGGTTGAATATAATCATTAGTGTAGCGAGAAAAAGGATTTCCCCCAAAATTCTACCTTTAATAGAGACGATTAAAAACATGCACATTAAATTAAATGATAAAAATGTAATCATAGCTTCCCTTCAAGCTTGTGTGTAAACATCACATGTGTGTCCATTATTTTAATGATGCAACAGAAGGCCACAATGGAGCTATTGTTTCACATTAAAGACAGTAAGGGATTGTTGGGGACTGGTTGTTATAGACACACACACACAATCACACGCACGCACACGCACACACACACACACACACACACACTGGAAAATGATCTGTTGAGTTTTTCTAACAGTGGTTTTCTGTTTGTGTGGCTGTATAGGAGCTTTGGACTGTGAAGAGAAAGTCAATTAATTTCAAGGATAGTGACCGTCTTTAAAACAGTCTGGCCAAAAAATATAAACTCCTTTTAGAATCACAGTAAGAGTCTGTACTGTCCGTCACATCGCTGCTCTCCAACATACTCTGACTGCTACGACCTTCCTCTGAGCTGACAGGCAGGCAGTGAGAGTCTAAATAATGTAAAAGGTGCCCCTAGTAAGGGTGAGCCAGAGTGCGTGTCAGGGGATGGATGATTACAGATTTTGTGTGTGTGCATGTCAGATTAGAGACAATACAAACACTCATTACAGTATGTGACGTATTATTCTGGAGAACTTTCCAAAATGTAGGGATTCATTTGAGGTTAATCCTTTAATCTCAGACAGGGATAGACAAAGGGGGAAGATGGGGCTAGTGATAGAAGACTAAATAAATTACACTTGTCCTGAGAAAACAATAATGCCAAATTGTTTTTGTTGGAGCAACAACAGATTAAAATGCTACTCCTACACACTCACTACAGTTTAAATCCAACTTGTTTGGTATTTTCTGTCAGGAAGGGGATTACTGTGCCTTTTGAGCATGAAATCATGTAGATCAGATATTTTAAAATAAATTGTCAACAATATTTTAAACTAAATGTATGATACTTGCATGGGCATTAGAAATTTGGAAAACATTGAGAAAATGTTCAATCTCATTCTCAACCTACATAACTGATGGGATGGGGGGGAGGGGGGGGGGGGTTAACCTAATTTGCACTTCATTCATTCTGTGTTGATGATTTCCGCCCCACTAATCTGCT